AGGTGGGGGATTCATTTAATTATTTTTTCTTGTTTTTTTCTGCTAGCGTTTTCGCAGATGCACATTCGATGGACAAGCTTGCAGAACGTTAAGGGTTTTGAAAGTCATTGGCCTCTAATTAGCCTTGACTGGGAAATCATGAAAACGTTTTCAGCACATAAAGCGACTTTAGCCTTATCTTTCAGTTATTTAGATTTCAGTTAAAGCACAATGCTAAACTTTGAAAGTAAAGTCGTTTGCACTACCTTGTTAGGAACTGGAAAGTGGGCTTTTGTCAGCCCGGAAATTTTGACTGTATGGTCAATCCACCCGCCGTGCTAATTGGCTGCTAGTGTTGTGAGTGATTTGTGACTACAAAATATAACAATGCTTGGTGTAATTGAAATCTTCACCCATCTTACAAATTCTGATTGGATTTAGCTGTTAGCAAGCTTGAAAATTTCCAATTTTTGGCCTTTTCCAGCAAGATCACATGCGCATATCCCACTTTACCCACTGGTTTTCTGCATTTTTGCTCCTTCATTTGGACTCAAAGCATTAAATCTCGATTCGGCTTGGCGATGCTGCAAAGTGGCGAATTAGCACGCTTTTAGGCATGGTAATCGCCAACAATGAACCCTGTCAGCTTTCGCGATGATGATCGTGTCTTTTCTCATATGCGCCAGTCAGAAGTAGTGTGCTGGAGCACAGCTTGAAGTGAATGAGCGAATGCATGCGAACAAGTAGTCATCCAATCAACGAGAACACTGAATGACTTTATTATGGACGTCATCGGAGCGCCTTAATAGTATCGCAGACTTGTAGATTGTATGTACGCCGACTATTTCACTCAACTTTCTATACTGGGGGCGCCTAGATGCATGGTGACATTAAATATTTTCCCGTACGTGTGAAGAAAGTAACTTCTGCTTATTTCTTAGGTTTTCTCTTCCCAATATATTTAGCATGATTCACATTTGTATATGTTAAGCTAACTCGCTTTATGCTCTTTTCTTGCGATACTTGAAACCAACCGAGTGGATGCTCTGAATTCAAACACATGGCACAGAAATTTGAGTTAAGCGTTACCCAGTGAAGCCGGATTTGGTCTGCGTTTAAGAGCAAAAAGTCGTAATTTTTGCACAATTTTTTTGAAGTAGTTAGTAGATTCTTATATGGCTAGCACCATTTTGTAGTGCTTGAACTTTGCATTCCGGTAGTGGTTTATGTAAATATTTGCCTAAAAACGGGATCATTCCATGAAATGCGTGGTGCTCTGTTCTCTTCGACTCCATTTTGCTATTCGACTGCCAACTTGAACTATTGGTAGACCCCATTAATGCGTCAAGAAAAGTGATTTAAGGCGCCTTTTCTTTTTATTCACTAATAGTAGTTCGGCCAGAGCGTGCCTCAATCTGGGCTCGGTTGTGAAACGGATTTTAGGTTTTTTTAGTGTAGTTTTAGCATCTTTTCTGTTCTACACATTCGCAGCCTCAACTATACACAGCCGATGTCTTTATGTATAACATTTTTGGTCAACACTCAACTGCTTCATTTGAGTGCAACTGGCACTAAGTTTGTTTCCATTATTTTCTTCTGCTTTAGTGGTTTTGAGGCGCGAAGAAATAGTTCTAAGCTTAGGCTTGCAGAGACTCCGAAGAGAGGCCGCAAAAATAGGCGCAAAATGGTCTATAGCTCTTGCGTCTCTCCATGCGACACATTCTATCCCACTTGAGATTGGAACTAAGGCTAATATTCGTGCAGTGATGGACTTATTGACTATAGGCACGACTGATATGTTGTGCAGTTAAACGTGCCTTCTTTTTTTGTAAATAAAATACCAGTCTGTCGTACTATGAATTACCTAATTTTGTTTTTTATTTAGCTGACACCTAACGAGATGTCAGCCAAAGCGTCAAAAAACTTTCACACTCCACCATTTTTCATGCACCCACAATGTTAAAGTCCTCTTGTATTGTAAATGTCACTTGTCAAATTGCGCTTGAGACGCGCTTCTGCTTTATTTTAAACACAGGGCGTGGTTCAGCCATTACGCAGGCAAAATCCCAACATTACGTTTGTTTTCGGTATTGTAAATTTCTTGTTTGGATGAAGTGAATTTCAGTAGTGCCTGTAATTTCGCTCTTTCTAAAATTCCAAATTTGCATTCCGGTTAGGTATGTTTTGCCTTCCTAATTAGTAGAACGACTTTTACAGATGGTTAGCAAGATTAGTTTTAAAAATATCATGACCTTGAAAGCATACATCTGCGAGAACTGTGTAGTCTGATAGTAAACGGGTTCCCACTCGTCCAGTTCTTAACCAGCCAAGTAGTGTACATTTGTAGAAAAACTATGGGTGATACGTTTAAAGTCGGGATTAGTCGCATATGCAATGCCACTAAGAATGAAGCACATAATTGTAGCGTGAACAGACTGGGTCTGGCTCCACTTCAAGTAGGAAATAGTGTAGGAAAGCATGAATTTCCACGTTACATTTCATTCTTCATAATGCAGACTTCACAGCTCTGCCAGGACAGATCCGTGATTTAGGAAAACTTTGTAACATGGTATTCAGCCGAGTAAAGTTTTTCGGTGCTTGCAAATAATTTCACAACGATGCAGAAGTTCCCTAATCTCATCTCAAGACCTTCTTTCCAGCTAAAGTGTGATTAAACTTCTTCCATCGAATCGGATCCTTTTTCGGCTGCCTGAATGCCAGCTGACCATTTAGCTACATTCGACACGTCATCTGTTCCCGGATTGGCTGGACTTCATGAGGCTGTCATGGATAGCACCAATCAACTCCACTTTATGTGTATAATGCGATTTTCGGGTTTCAGATTGCTTCGGTAGTTCGCCTTTATTAGTTTTTTTCCTGTTACAATTTCCCATTGCCTTCCACTTGCTCCATTCCAATGTTGCTCACCTTTAGTCCTCAATTAATTAATACTTCTCTTTTTCATTACTTCGATCTCTGCAAAGCTAATTTGGGTTTCCACTTTGTAAATTTATCGGTAGCACAGTGATCCCATCAGATCTAGATGTTATTTCACGACGTTTTTGAAATTTATTTGCTCTTGCTTGAGCTGCTTTTATCGTGGAAATTGATCAGATCTTTCATCCTTAACCCAACCGATGGTTGCGAAATAAGTAAAGGTGATGGAAGGTTTTACGGCTAGAACGTTGGCAACGATTCTTCAATTGCTCATTTAAATGTGGCGCCGTCTGTCCATATGATTAGTTCCTTTACTTGGTCAGCACTATGTCAAACGTTTCCATAGTAACGCAGCAGCAATGTTGAGTAAACCTCTGTGAATCTTTTTTTACATAGTTTGAAATATAACTACTTTCACAACAGCTTGTCTTAGCTTGCTGTTGTTCTTGCCATGTTAGGGGTGTCATGGTGGGATTCAGTCGAGTCGAAACACTTGTTGTAGCCATTTAAAGAAACCTTTACACCTTGTTTTAGCTCTAAGGAATTTTTGTATGAACAGATTGGAAGCTAAACCACACATTTATGTGATATTGTGTTCGCAAAAGATATACTCGAATGAAATGGTAGGCAAATATAGTGTTTTTCAAATAAATCTAGGCATTTAGCGCTTACTGAAGTGCTAAAAGCTCCCTGTTCTCCTGTACATTTGTCTCAATTTCTGGTCTTTCTTGTAGCTCCTCTAAAGCCTGCGTTTCTCAGTCATTCCGTGCCATGCTGAGGGATTGCCATAGATTGTGTCTTGCTACGATGTTTCGTGAAAACAGTTCGAAGGATAGGCCCTCGCAAGATTAATCCACCTATTGGCACCTTTTTCGTAGCACCATTGACACGGAAATGAAAATACACGCATTTGCGCAGGTCCACCCACATTGGACAAAGTGATGCGCTGTGCATGTTCGTGATCGAATATGCACTTACATTCATTTGAAGGTATCGGAAATGGCTGGTTTTACGTTTGTAAACGTTCACTTGTGAGTTCTGCCTACTCAGATCTAAAATCGATAGTGTTGCGCATTCTCTGTCTCATTCTCAGCATTATATGAGCATCGGCGCAGTGTAATTATATAACTTCTTGGTTACTCTTTTGTTCGCAGATTTCACGTATTCAATGAATTCCCCTAAACCTCCTTAGGCCTTATCGTTTCTAAATTTTGCACTGAGTTGATTATCACTGAAGGTAGGAGTTTTTATTGAGGAATCCTGCAAAGAATTTCCACTTTTCTGGGCTCCTACCAGTTCCACTCCCTTTTCTTGGAGTTGGGCGAGATTATCATCTAAACCTTGGAAAGACGAAATACTGAGGCGCAAGTTCTCCAGCTAAACTAAGCAGGTAAATGAATAACTCTAAGCTGATAGTTGTCTAATATGGAATCGCAGCTTTTAGATTTGTTCCTCTTACCAAATTGCTTCGAGTCTATCAGTCCTCTCTACCTCTAGTACTTCCCTTTCGCTTACTTTTGGCTTGGTTTAGTAGTAGTTATGTTTGATGTTCGTGGTTGTAGTGTGTCATTTATTGTAAAGCTTTTGTTGAAAATTGTACTGTGCATTGTTGCCTAACGCCCCATCTAGCGTAGCGCGAAAGTTTCACTTATCAATAGCAATTACCTAAAGCCCTTTCTTTCAGCAAGGTTCTCATTGCATTCATTGCTAGTAGCGATAGCACTTACACTCCGTCTTAATACATCTGCCATTTCTATGCACATACTCAATTTGACGCTGTAGTTGTCAGTTTATTTGCCTTAGCAATCAAAATCACATTACATCTCTTCAACTTACGCTAGTCACTTTTTTAGACTAAGTTACGGGAATGCTTTTTTTGCGTCATTTGTTAATGCGATTGTGAGATTTCACTCCTCGTTTTTCATAGCTTTAAGCGTGTGTGAACCGGGTCGTAAGCTTTAGCGTTATGACGTCTACATCCTTTGAGCTGGACTACCCGTGATTAACTCGCATTTCTAATGGCAATTCCAAAACCCATTAAAAGACTAAAGTAAGGAGGAATGGGCGGAAATTGGCTTTGAAACATGGATATTTTTGTCTTAGCCACTGTTAGCTGTGAGATTTTCGAGAGTAAGTGGTTTATTAATAAAATCATAACCTTCGACCAACTTCTTCATCCTTCATTTTTTCGTAATCCGTATACGTCACTGTCACCCTGGAATAGGGTGTAGTAATAATTAACACCGAGGCTTGTCAATGGCAGAACGCACTCATGATGTTTGATGCAGCTAGAATTTTCGTGGACTTTGTACCGCTGTTTCAAATGATTTTCATCCACTTTAGAATCGGTTATACCTCTGTGCTTAAACTAGACTAATCAGTGCATTGGTTAAAAGCGACTCCTTACCAAGGCCTTTGAGATGGCAAATAGCTAGTTTTTTCTTCCGATTAGACCCACATTTTTAACCCTTTTGGATGTATTTGTGTGCCCCAATGTTGACAGTACGATTCGAAATAGGCATTACTGTCAATGTAGTAGGGCCTATTGGGAGTAGTCCTTGCCAACAACAAGTTTCTACACAGTAGCTTTCCAATTTTGCGGAAACAATTGTTTAGCGTCATTACTCTTCCTTTGCTGCAGACTGAATCGCGAAGATTGCGTGACCAATGGTGCCAGCAGTGGTCGTACTAGTCCACGTCTCTCCGCTGGTCAGTTAGACCTCGAGAAGGGTCGTTTTGGTTCCCCACGAAGGTCGACAGTTGAAGATTCAACGACGTCGGGGATGCCGACAATCAACAGTAATCCGCCGGCGAAGTACAGTCGAATCTTTGCTTACGACTCCCTCTACGACGACGCAGATGAAAAAGATTGTGAGTGCTGCCATTTCTTCGCCCAACCACTTTTTCCTCTATTTGAGCCATTCCGCAGTTGTAAATCTTTGTAATAAATAGAGTAAATTTCGTCCAACTCTGGCACAACAAACGCTTTTACATGGCTATACGTGTCGTGGTCCTTATTTTTTTAGCAGTTTCGTTCAGCCTCAGACGTCGTCTTTTCATTGGCAATTTGTTTCATCAGTTTCTCATTTGCATTTATAACCGGCTGCGTTGTTACATTGTGATAGTGAATCTACATGACTTTCCACTATTCTCTACGCCGAACTCCTCTTTCTAGGCTTAAAATGCTAATTGAATTGCAATCGTCTCTCCTGTGGCTAACTCATTTTCAATATTGCGGTTGCAGGCCAATACGGACTTGTCTAATGCACGACGGTACTGTATGCATCTCCCTTAAGTAGTTGGTATAACTGTCCTGAACTTTGAATTCTTCAGCAGCGTTGCGAACTTTTTGTAGGGTTGCTTTCGGTATCGCCGACCATTCGATGTTCGCTGGCTTATTACTGTCATATGTGATCCTTTTTAATCACTTGATTATGCCAAAGTCATCGAAATGAAGGCATTTATATCAACTGGATGACACACCTCAAACAACTTCCTTTTAGTTTGTTAGATACTCAACCGAATGAAACCTTCTTTGGGTCGATTATTGAGGAGCAGTAAATGTAGCAGGTTTTATTAAATTTACTTTGTTCTTACTATCGAAGGCTCCAAATTTCCCATCTAACGTAACCTCCCTAGACTTGGAACCTATAGTTTTTTTGTGCATTTTAACTGCTGATAAAAGCGATGTAGTAAGGCGCTCAACGGTATACACCGTGTACGACCTGCTTCATTTGTTTCATTTGCGTCGGCCCGTGGCACGGTATTTCACGGACAGTTCCTATGCAGTGAAGGAAATGATTTTGGACTTCTAAAAAAAATAATGACCAAACATTTGAATGCCATAATAGCTAGTAAAGTCTGATGACTATTAGTAGACCTGTGGCGATACAACGCCTCTTAGGGCGGCCTCACTGGAGGAGCCGACCGTTATTTGCACAGCCTCTAATCTTTTTCGGTGTTTCATTGTCTCATAAATGAGATAATATCAGAAGCTGTTGCTATCACAAAGAGATGGTAATTACAGAATGGCGCATGTTTTAAAAATGATGGTGGAGATGCAATCTCGTAATGATTACTAGCCTAGCATAATTGGGGCTCAGAGGAAGCGATTTTCATACTGTATTTTTTATCCCTAAAGCCATATGGATTGCGCGCATGACCTATTGATTTGGCTTTGGTCAAAAGCTTCCATCAACTTGACTTTCAGGCCTGTTATTTTTTGATATTAAGTAGCGAATTATCTTTGGTTCGCTTCCGATGGTATAACTACTACTGGGTCGTGTATTGCTTTCTTAATAGATTAATCTGCAAGAAACTTCATGGCAAATACTTGTGCCTGTGCTTTTCCTTCCATCTTTATACATCCCTTCTAGCTTTGTACGTTTGACCGACTACCACATTTATTCTTTTTCCGAGACAGGCACAATAGCTTCATTCTATTCTATTTAGATCGCGGAGAGGAGGTCGCGAAGGTATTTTTTGCAGTGAGCTCGGTGTTTTCCTTTCCCACTTCACCTTTGGTACTTTTGAAGTGACCAGACGGATTAAACAAGAACAGGTTTTTATTGGATTATGAACGTGATAGGGGTAGAGGGTACCAAAATGACGTATTTGGACTGCATATCCTCCTCAGTAGGGGAGAGGGGTAGAAGAGTGAGGACAAATGGGGTGCCCATGTATAACAACGACCGTATTTCCTGACATGTCGCTCAAACGATACATTCGAACAATCATTTGCTACACATGTGAACGTGTTTAATCACCATTGCCTGTTTTTTTTGCTTTTTGTGCTATTGGCTAAATAACCAACTGTGCGTCCATTTTGGAACAGTCTCCTGTATACGGTTTTTTATAGCCTTCCATCGGAATGTCATCAGAACTTTTGTGGTTCTCCCTTTGCCGAATGGTAAGGTGTTCAGGACTTCGAATCAAGGAGGCGCGTTCAGATCGAGCCATCGATTTTGAGTTCATTGAAAAGCAACGCTTTAAAGAGTATGAGCATTATCGTCACGTATCTCACAGTTGAATCAACACTTGCTAATCGGCTGCTGTATGAAATGTTTTATCAGTTCAAGTGACTTGTATAAAACTGTACCAACTTTTAGAATGCGTTGGGTTTCAAACGATCTATCATTCGAACCAACAGTGAAATGTGCTGGAATGCCTATTTGCTATTCCATAATTGAGTAAAAGTCGGTTTGGAAACCTGAAAGTGCCAAATCTTGACCTTTAATTTATGTAAAGTCCACGAACGGTGTGAGAGCCTACCGATGGGCAAGAACCTGCTCCTGTTGAAGGAAGTTTAGAATTTCCACTCGAAAACTATAACTTTAAAATAAAGAGGAGGCATAAATGTAGGTTCATTAAGCTTCAGAACGTTGCTGCCTCTACTTCGAGTAATCGAACTCCAACTGGTTATTGGTCTTGGTTTTACAAAGCGTTTGCTCCGGCATTTTCGTGCCTAGGGATGTGGAAAGTGTGTTACAATCGTTTTATTTTATCGAACCGAATGCTCAGAATGTACTCAAATGATTCCGTCTCGTGCATTTGCTCCGCTTCTCCCACAATTCCATCCTCTATCTCTCTTACCCCAGTTATTATCCTAATAACGTCGAGAATGTCATTGGTGAAACGATCTAACGTAGAGGCGTATAACTATTTTCCTCTACGTTAATATAAAGCATCCGGAGTTTTGTTCTCGCTTTTATTCTCCTTCATTCTCTTTGCAGTAGGCTCTTTACAATCGGAAGGTTCGGTGATCTCCTACTTGATTTCCCAGCTGCGTATCGGCATGGATCTGACTCGGATCACTTTGCCCACCTTCATTCTGGAGAAACGGTCCACTCTGGAGATGTACGCCGATTTCCTTGCTCACCCTGATCTCTGGGTGGCCATTGGAGACGGTGAAACGCCGCAGGCGCGACTCATCGCCTGCCTCCGATGGTAAGTCACATGCACGTTTTTAAAGCCTCATGCCATTAACGCTGCGACCGTTAAATCTGCTTCTGAGATGCATGATAATCGTGGTTATTGGCGCGTTAACGACTGATTCATTTTGGGCGATTCACTTCCTTCACCCTACTCAAATTCGAAATTTCCGACATTTAATGTTTATATTTCGTCGCATACTTTGTTAATAAAACTTGCTTTTGCGCACAAAAAATCGTTTTTGTTCAATTTATCCACTAGTTCATCAGCAAAAAGGTAAAGGTAAATCTTCTGGCAGCATGGTTTGAGGTACGCAGGAAACCAATTCCACTTCTCGTCATAGGTAAAACAAAAGAAGATGCTCCCTCATAGGAGAAGTGCTTGTTATTTTCGACCAGAAGTAGCCAACGAAACCGATGTCAACTTTCCTAATGCCTAAAATAAGGCAATATTAATTGGATGTTATTAAGCTGACTTGTGTAACGAAATGTTTTATTCAAGAGGATTGGCTTAAGTGTTCTGTTCTGGAGGCTGTGATTCTTAATCCATTTATCGGCATCTGTTTAAGTCTTGAGCCAATTTTTGTGTAATATTTATTTCCTCGGGAAAAAGTGAGTTTGTCATTTGAATACTAATGTCCACCTCTCAGTGCTCTTTCCTATCTTGTTGCATCTTCGGTGGCGAGCACACATGAACCGACGCTAGGTCGAAATTCGCGAACTTGAACCTCGTGACCAACTTTGCTCTTCTGATGCGTTTGTTTTCTGCGAATGGTTGACAACTTTTCAAAGGCTATTAGACAGTAAATCTTGGATACATTTCGGATTTTTTTGTGCACCTTACACCACAGTACCTTGAAATTCCATTCTGTTGTTACGACTAGTAGAAATGGGAACCTTACACTTCTGAAGACTTTATTTAACTGGCTCGTGAAAAACAGTTCAGGAGTGTCCCATTGATGTGCTAGAGCTTGACCAATGGTTTGTACGTCTCAGGCGCTGTAACTCAGGTTGTCCACTAGTATCGGTATTCCTGATCAAACTGCGGTGATCTTACCTCCGGCAAAACCTTTTTTCCGTCAACTTTATTTGAGTCGTCTACCTCAAACAAAATAATGCCTCAGCGTCTATGCGTATCCGTTCCTACACAACTCACTTTTAACCTCTTTGCACTTACTACCTAGTAAGGGAACAATCTAAAAGGTTGTCATTATTTTCAAAAACAGAGCTTCATAGATCTACGTTGATCATCTCCAAATTGCCTTAAGTTCCAACCGTCTAGTTCGCTGTCATGAGTGCCTCTTGAGTAGGCTTTTCCGATTCATATGAGTGTTAATGAGTCTCCTTTTTTCTGGAGTCGATCAAGACACTTTCTACTGAAGTATCGAGAACTAATGAATCCTCATTGCTTTACTCGCATTTTAATGGTTTGGATTCAATCAATGCGTATGAGAGATGGTTTGATGCGATCCGTTGCTACTCACCTGAATAAAGGCATGTTTGCATATTTATTGTAACACCACCAAATATACAAACCTGAATGTAATACATTCCCTCTTTGTGACTTTCGCTACAGGTACCTATCTGCGTTTCACGCGAGTCGTAAAACTCCGGTTTGCAAGAAACCGTATAACCCAATTTTGGGAGAGATATTCCGTTGCTGCTACTACCTCGGCCCCACCTCCAATTGTGGCAACTGCGCCTCCTCTCTCTCCTCTTCACAGCCTCTCCTTGAAACAGACATTCCAGCGGTGTATCCGGAGGAGGAGATGGAACGGCATGGACCTATCCCTTACGCTTCTGAGGATTGTGTCGTCTTCCTTGCTGAACAGGTACACCTGCTTCTTCTTGGCCGGAGACCATTGTCGTCGACAGGCCTTTGGATGCTCATCAGTGAATGGTTAAAATCGTTAAAACGTTGTATAGCTGTTCCGTCATCCTTTGGTGTGCTTTGAGCGTCTTATAGCCTAGTGCGGATATTCATGGTTGGAGTCTTACATCTTCTTTCCAATGAACCGCATTGGCTATTGCGATTTGGAGCGTTTGGAGCACATGTGGGAGAAGCAGAAAGAATTTATTCAATATTGTTCACTCCAGAAGCAGTTTTTTCAGTTACATTAAATCTAAGCCTTTGAGAAAAGGATCAGGAGTTGGTGCTTTGCAGGGGATTAAAGTAAAACTGCGATACACTTTGCTGATCATATCTGAAAAGCTGAGGACGCGTATTTTCTCCCTATTGAAACCTGTTCATACGTTTGCAGTAAGCTTCAACGATGCTAGTTAGACTTGAGACCTTCCGTCCTCTGCCCTAGTCGCTTTTATCCACTTCTTTTGGTATTCATAGATTTCTGCGAATTTTACTGATGATGGCTAATTGAAGTCCACCAACTTTGTCATTTCGAGGAAACCATTTTTGTGTTCTGAGAACTGACGGTGTAGCTTGTTACTCTGCTTCATCAAACCGCACTGAAGTTGCACTTTATATCGTTTTTTATGGAAATTAGGGGCGTTCCATTGTGTCGAGACCTAATTAAATGTAAAAGTGATAAGAGAATCCGGACTAGAGTTGTCGTCTCAATGCTAAAAAAGGCTCAAATCGATGCACATTTCGCTATCAAATTCAGTGCATAGACGGTCTAGGAAAATCTTACTTGATTCGTAAATTTTTGAGTTAAATTTTTCCGTTTGTTTGCCATTTTGATATCCTACTTGTGGTAGGTAGATGTCTCATCTATTTGGGCGTTTTGAAGTCCAATTAATTGAATCGCCAAACAACTGTGCACCTCGAATTATCGCTTTTGGTCTGTGCCCAAATCCCCGGACAAATCCTCAAGTTGGCTGCCAAATACATGATTAAAATGCTGTGCAACCAAGATTTGAAGCTGAGTCTATGCCAAAATTTGATGATTTGCGTCTTACAGAAAACTATTTTGGTGTACTTGACCAGACCATGTTATGCTACCACCGAAAATGATAGGAGAGCAGAGACTTAACTGAATTTGTTTATAACCGCAGACCTTGGTCTATTTTTATAATATATTTTTCTTGTCAAGAAACTCATTCTCCGTAGCAAAGAGTTGAGAAGCTATTTCTCAATAGCGCTGTGAATTGGGTATCTCAAGTGTGTTGCCTTAATGACGTGTTTGATGACCTATGCGTCATGTAGCGACACCTTGATTCCTCCTCTGGCTAGTGTGGCATTATATGAATGCACCTGTTTTTAGTCAGACCGATTTTCACCCAAGAGGGATTTGGTCGAGCCCATTAATATGGCTTACGTTGTTGGTGCAACTTCGCATGCCAAATTTACTCCCAGGCGATGCGGACATTAGTCGGATCTTGCTTTTAAAAGATGGCCATAACAAGATCCAAAGGAGATCGAACGCTCATTGAAGTTCGGTCTTTTACCATGCTTATTGGCCGAGTAACCCTTAACTGCAAATTCAGTGTAACTTTGGCAAGGTCCGATGGATAGTCAGTTCGCTGACTCACTTACTATAAGGGCATATTTTGGTACTCATTCAGACGCCGTATACCATGGGAATCTGGAGCTAGTTTTTATTGCAAACAGTCAGAAGCGCTAACAATCTGGCAGCGCAGATTGCCCGGTCGGAGCTTAGTTTCGGTGAGGCGGGGGCTGAATCACGGCAGGCACAGCGGTCTGGTCTGCATTGCATCTAAGTCAGGTAGCTGTTTTTTATGTCGATTTGTTCTGTCGAACACGACGACAACTTTTATATCTTACGATTATGAAGTGTCTGGTATTAGCACGCTCCCTGGTAAATCTTATTTCACTCTTATAACTTGTCACATTTTGCCGTCATTTATTTGTCCCAGTTTTTGGCTCACCTCTGCCATTGAGCGTTCCGCTGTTGCCATTACTCTAACATCAGACTTCCTTCTCTTCTTTCTCAAAAATTTTTTTGTTAAAGTCATCTCACGGACCAATCGGAGTGGAGTAGCATAATACCTTTGCTTAGAAAAGTTGGGGAAAAATCACTACCGCTAAGTCTTGCGTGGGAAGAGCCCGGGCTGACGTGGGGGTCTTAAAGTTAGAAAGTTTCTTTTTTAATGACTGAAGGATGATGAATTGCGATGAAATGATTGTTAGCTATGTGAACCTTCTCATTTAATTTGCCTTATATTATTTAGTCTTGCTTTTTTAAGGCAATTTTTCATAATTTTCATCCAATTTTAATGGTCTCGCGAAGGGATTATTGCAGAAAAGTATACCTTACCCTCAGTTGTTCAAAGTTCATTCACATTTTATCTCGTACTTTCGTTAAGCTTTCGTTTGCATTATTCATGTTTAAAGCCTTATCTAGCTTATTACATTCTCCCCAAAAGGGGTAGTATTTGGCACATTGTTTACTTGACCTTCCAGAACTTCTACTTAACAGAGCAGCTTGAATTATTTGATCCTGCCAGGAGTCTTTACGCAATGAACTGTATGTCAGTACTCCTTATGGAGATCTACATGCCATAGCCTACAAAGATATTAGTTAACCCTTTAAACGAATGTGGCCCTATGTAATAAAGGCCAACTCATCTATCTCGTCCATAAACTTATTAAAGCTCCTCCTCTAAAGGTTTTTTTAGGCTTAGGCGTTTGGGTAGGATCTTGGTACAGATGTGCGGTCAAATAATGGCCTCTTATTTTACTACTCTAAGAAGGCTGAATAATTCCCAATACACTGTTTACGCAGGTTTCGCACCACCCTCCCATCTCCGCCTTCTATGCCGAGTACATTCCTAAGCGCATTCAGGTATCGGGTCATATTTGGACCAAGTCGAAGTTTTTTGGTTTAAGCATTGGAGTCGAAATGGTCGGCAGTGCCACCATCGTCCTCCTTAATCGGCCCGGTGAGGAATACGTTGTTACATTCCCATCCGCCTATGGACGGTGAGTCTCTTCCTTTTCCCTCCTACTCTTTCTAACTAATGCTTACGTACTGGTTGTAAAAGTGTTTTGTAGTTCTCAGGACTAACAATGCAATACTTTGGCTTGGGTGCTGTTACTTGTGCAATTTGAGTGGTGTTTTTTACTTGCAAATTGTGGGTGTTAGGAGCAATAGTTACGAAAAGGCGAAAAGGCGATGATTGCGTATTCTCATGGCGACCTGCATAAAGTGATCATCGAATTTGAAGCATTCTTTATAGCAATGAGTGAATCGAACTCCTCGTACTGAATCGCTAGCTATTACTTTGTCCGTAAGGAATTATTGTGGCACTCAATCTTGTTGAACGTCAATTATCGACTTCAACCTAACAGAGACGTAAAGCAAAGCTTCTTACTAGCGCTGGGCTGTCACGTTCAAAGTACCATTTCGGAAAACCGAGTTACTTGTGTTGAACGTTGACACTGCTCAATCTATATATGGCAGCGACCAATTGTCGTGCCAACTCGCCACCCCACAATGCATACCAGAACCTTGGTTTTCCGAACCACTGAAGTGCATGGATAACCTGATAGAGCTGTCTTGTGGAAATATTGAGAATGAGGTTATGAGAGACTTAGGTCTTTATTATCGCATGTCACCTTATAACGGGTACACATCACCTTGATGAGACGGTACATCACGAAGGCGAGCTCCATAATTTTACCGAACACTGAATCTTCTCTGCATCCACATCATGGTTAGTTTTGCGCACGCGCAAAATAGCGAGGAGTGTAAGCTTCCATAAGACGTTGTCGAAGGAAGCTGCAGAATGGACTAGCATTGTCATCAGTTATTTTTGGCCTGCGGATAGAAATATCCTGGGAGTACCGTGGGTGGAGCTGGGCGGTCAGTGCTCAGTAACCTGTGCAAAGACAGGCTACAGTGCGGATGTGAACTTTCTCACAAAACCCTTCTACGGGGGCAAGAAGGACCAAATCCGGGCCAAGGCTTTTGGGCCTGAATCCGAAAAGCCATTCTTCACTGTTGAGGGCGAATGGAGTGGTCGGATGATCGGACGATGGGCAGAAAATGGGGTTCGTTTTTCCGCATTCCTCTTTCCTCTTTATTCTTCCTAAAAAGGGTAAAAGGCTGTGCGGTGGGTGATTTCATTTGAAGATTCTTCTATAGAGTGCTAAGGCAATTTCCTCCTGGCGGCGCTTCTCTTTTTGAAATTTGCCTTCGGATTTAATGGATTTTGAATCACCGGGCCAATCCACTTAGCGAAACCTGCCTTATCCGCAAAAAAATCTACCCCTAGCATTTCCGCACTCAACTTCCACATCTTTTGGTAAATGATCTATGGTCTTTTTTGGATTTGAAGAAGTCTCCTTCCATTTAAGGTTCATTGTGGTTGAGTCGCCCTCATATCGACACTAATTAGCTGTATGCGAGGCGCATTTGAATCCTACCTGAGTTCGGCATTATCGTCACATCACTAATCCTTGCTTTTTCATCTTTCCTCAATCCAACTGATGGAACAGTGATTTTTCAATTCAAACACAGATGCATTGGGGCGCTACCTTCTTGCGGCTCTAAAGGGAATTGCTGTGACATGCAAGTTGGTGATAAATTTCTCTACAAAATCCGATTGGCAATGAAAGCCTTTTTACACGCTTGAGTGTAAATGCACGTATATGTATCGTAAAAATATCTTGCAAGCGTTTTGAGTCTATCGCTTTCGCTTACTTTATCATTAGTCTTACACGAACTTTTTTGAAGGCAAACATTCTTTGCTGTCGCGTCTCAGAAGCGAACGACTTCTGCTTTTAACAAAAGAAATAGCGCATTTCATTGGAGTTCAGTTGGTCAAAGCGTACTAACCACGAGCATTCACTGTTTTGTTTTGAAGTTGGACAGCATCCATTGCCTATTTGGGCGACTGGACTCTGATAAAGTAAGTGATACGTTTCTGGTACTGAATCAAGGTTTTTTTTTAATGCAGTGGCGTCTTCCTGTCTTCCACTCAAAGACCACTTTTTTGCGTGAAAACGGCGATCAACCTCTCACTGAAAATGTGCCTAGAGCATTTTTTAACCTTAGCCGAGGACAGCGTACCTGCAGATTGAAATAGATTTGATAGACTTACGAAGTGGTTGTGTTTGGCTTGCAGTTTTCCTCATGATCTTTTTGGAACCAGATAAGTTGTTATGCATACCAGTTCATCCAACGGCATTGCATGAGTGCACGAATGAATTCCACAGTTGTCGAGCGCCCTTTACACCTCAGAGAGTTATCAACAGACTTCCTTCACTTTGCATTATTCTTCTTTCACCTTTGCTCACTGCATTTCTGGACTTGTGAAACTAACTTACTTGCAACAGCTCTTCCACTATTCCCTGTTTATCCGCCTCACACTACCTTTGTTTTGGTTTGCCTACAAAACACCTGCGTCTCAATGCTGTCCATCTCTCCTTCTTCCATCAGTGACACTTTTCAGATAGCTTATCGAATGAGCCACTGTCATGATAACTGCAATCAAGCATTCCTTTATCTGAAAGGGGCACAAGCAGGGTTTTACGTATGACAGCTTAATGCTAGGGTTAATTCTCAAGGCTGGGTCTAAGATGATACTAGAATCAACCTTTGTATAAGCCACATTGAAGAATTAAGGGACAAATGTCATTGCTCTCCCCTTCCTCTTAACTAGTAACAACTGTTTTAGGCACCTTTGGAGGTGATAAGGGCCACTTGCCTCAAGGTAGTGCGGCCTAGGTGTAACGAATGTCTTGTGATGCATATAAGAATTCAAATGCTTGAGCAAACTTACTAACTCCAATGATTGTCTCTCGTTTTTTTCTTTTTCGCGACCGTTTAGAGAGAGGAGCTCTTCGTGGACACTAAGGCACTGCCGACAATGCAGAAACAGGTTCGTCCGCGGAGCCAGCAACTTTGCAACGAGTCAAGAAAGTATGCACGCTTGACTTATTGCCTTGAGGCTAGTAATTAGCAGCTACACTTGTAACAGGTTTTACCGCCGTAGCAGTAACCTCACTTGAATGCTCTGAGGGTCCACCAATATTCAGACTACCCTTTTGACGACATTTCGATTCAACCACAAAACTTTTTGCTCATTTATGAGGCATTTATGTGCGCACAAGTTAGATCTGTTCGTTTAGATTCAGAAGTGAGGTGGAACTTGCGTTTACCCCTCCATTTGGTCTCTTACCGAATCACTCTGAACTTATTCAGTGGCTTAATCTTTATCTACAAAGCGGCCTCGATATATGGAATGATTTGTCAATGTGGCTAAATGATTAGTCTATTAGCCTACTGGACGACGTTTTTGCACAGTAGAGGACTGCTAGTATCCGCGCTGATCGGGCTAAATCCATACTCCCTCGGGAAGGATTCGTTTCCTGTGGTTAAGGTAGGAAGTTGGGCGTTTCTCTCGCTGACTGTTCATTTACAGGCTTGACTGCCAAGGCTATCAGCTGCGAGCCACCATTCCTGAGACCATCACTGGAAGGTGCACGGTTGTTCGTCTTCGAGCATTTGAGACAGATTAAATGCTTTCTTGTTTGAGGAGCCCACTGCCCCATCATCTTGCTGTGCTGCGTTTTGCTGTGCTTCGTTTTCCATAGATTCGAATGGATGTTCATGAGTTTTTTTGTTGACCTCCTGTTGGGGATATTTGCTCACCAGTATCCTTGTCTGTCGTACTGAATAACAGCGCCTGGAACAATCTCCAACATAGGTGCTAGCTTTCATCTGCAGGTCTCGTTCTTCATTCACTATAGCGTCAATCTGAAAACACATTTAGCTTCAGCACCTTCCATGGATTTTGCTTAACCAGATGATAGCTGACGTTGGACACACCAGACCTAAGTGGCTTTTCTCCTCTGTAGATTGTGGGAATCTGTAACCCAGAACTTGAAACAGGGCAACATTGACGCTGCAACAGACGCCAAATCTCTGTTGGAGCAGCGCCAGCGCCGTGAAGCTGCAGCTCGTTTGGAGGCACGTCAACAGTGGATACCCACTTATTTCACGGAGGAGAAGCGCTGCTCTCTTACAACCTCTACCAGCGGCTCTAGCGAAATCTACTATCGTTTCAAGTGGCCCTTAACTAGTCGGTGTTCGGCCTCTACCGATGTATCTGATGCCTGAGCGCGAATACGATGCTGCGCTGAGGAAGACGGCTCCGTCCTCTTTTGCCATCGCCTCAAGACCTATATATATGTGTATGTATGAATGCTTGTTTAGTTATGGCATCGACTCCCACACTTATTTTGATCACCTTACTCTTCTTCCGTGTGTGTGCGTGTGTATACCTTCATTTCTCTTCTTTTTCTATCCGTTCTCTCCCAACCACCTAACCGTCTCCCTCCATGTACGTGTACCTCTGAGAGTGTGTACGTACAAAGAATCCGGATATGCACATGTACATTCAACGAAATGATGACGTCTTACTAATGGGCAGAATGGCTTTGCTTGACTATCGCTGTTAGAGTTCTAATAAGTTACTTCTCGATAACGGTATCTGCTGAAGTGTCATCCTGCTTAGTCTACGAAAACTACGGAACTAGATTGGCACCTACAATATTCCACTCCACCTGTGTGTGACTTCGAAGACAAGGTTAATGAAGGCGCTGACTTTCCATTTCCAGTGTTTTTGGTTTTGCAGATACTGTAGATGTTTGCCTGCTATTTAGCCGACGCCAAATTTTGACCTCATCTGAAAATGATAACTATGGAAGACGATGGCGAACTCGCGCCTTGGCAGTGCTCTAGAACTTTGTTATCTGTAGCTTCTTTGAGGGCTGTGAGAGTGGTTTCCATTGTCAGGGTTTTCTATTGCAATGGCATCGGCAGTGCAGTTCGTCAAAAGAGGCACAGAAACCGACTTCCCTCTACCTAACCGTGACATCCCTAGAGGGTTCGTAGCAATAAGATGATTCCCCTGCGCATATCTCTACATGAATGCCGGATGAAAAGCTCAAATAATGTCTCTCAGTCCACTCCGAGCATGGTCCGGTGGGTGCTGTTCGCGCGATTGAGGATAAAAAGTTGACCGATGGCTTTGATTTATATTTTTGAATCGAAAATTCAACGAACATTTCGCACTTGAAGATTTCCAGCAGTGCTTTTAATCTTTTCGCGCAAAATCCACAAGAGTCGTGAGGATAAAAATGAAGAGATATGTATTTTCGTGCTCAAGGCCGCGTAGATGTGCAGAAACACTGAAAAAAGGACTTGTGATGAGTTATATGTGCGTGTGGTTGCAGAATGTGCACCAAGGGAGCCAACAACACAAGCTCAAAGGTGGAGAGGGAAGACGCGATCTAGGTAGGTCCAGTTGCCTGGGGGAAGTAGGCAGAAAGCAAAGATGAAAGTTGGTGTTGATCAGATTGGGGCGGACGGCTCAAACTACTCTCACATTCACTTGCTACCAAGGTGCCGTTCACCAGAGCTGGAAATAAAAACAACTGAACAGTAACGACTGATAGCATCTAAAGCCATCCTGATACTTGAAATAGTTTACCAAAATTGTAATTATTCTCCAATTAGGCGACAGATGAATAGCATCATTTTAAATGGAGAGAAATTAGTCCGTATTTCAAGATCAAAATCAGATAATCCTGTTCTCAATTGGCTTGGAGGCAAAAAATGCAAGACTTCCGGTAAGGCGGGACACAGACATCTCGATGAAGAAATACGTCTCGACTAATTTGAATGCTGAATGGCTAGCATCTCCTCAAGAAAATAAAGGGATAAATTCTACACCAGGACGTCCATCCAATTTGATTAATTCACACTAAATTATAAGGATTGGAAGAGCAATAGTGCGAAACATGAGACGGCTTCAGAGTACTTCGAAACTCAGCCTTTGAAAACAAAGAGCGTTTGGCCAGGCGTTGCTGTCTCATCGAAGACTTGGTCGTTAATAAAAGTGGGAGGTCACTAGTCCGCATAGGGCTTGAAATAAACCAAGTCGAATGCGCTTGAACATTATTCGCAGTTTATAAGCGCAATACGAATGTACTCAGTAGATGCGCGCCTCATGTAGAAGGACAACGTCAAGACTGGCCATAGAGGTCTCAGGACGAAATGAAAGGCACTAGCGATTTGTGCCCAAATTTTGAGCAAGAAAACCACCAAGAGGACATCTCCGTAGACTTCTTTAGACAAAAGAGAAAGATTACCCATTTTTATGCTAGAATAGCAGTGTGCCAGTTTAGTTTAGACAAAAGCCAAGTAATGAATGCGAATGAATAATGCCAGTTGGTATCGAGGTTCTCAATCAAGTGGCCAAAGTTTTAACGCAAAATTAGGCAAATATTTAACGAGAAAGGTCTTATTGCAATGATAATTCTCGTCACTAGGTATCCCCTAATGCCAGCTATCTTCGAGAACAGTGAGAGAAATATTTGTCGAGCAAAAATTCATTAATGCACACGAAGGACAAATCCAGTCCAGCATACGCGATCTCACTCCCTTATTCAAAGAGTTACAAATAACAGTTAATTTCTTTTCTACCAATGTATCCGGATCGTGTTGCCCCAATTCCAACCATCGAAACTAAACATATCAGGGCACTTCCCACAACGCCATTACCCAATCAGATGAAGGCATAAAAACTAGAAAATTCACATAGACAGAGAGCGGGCTGACCAAAGGCTCCGTGATCAAGCCCACAACTGCAGATGATGAGCAAGGCGAACTTCATCGCACAAAAGAAATAACTGGATGAGTTAGAAATAAGCACACTAGGAAGAGTTTACAGTTAAAGGTCTTACTATTTGATACAAATTTTGTGCTGCGAAATGCTCTTTAAAAAGGGCAAACATCAACTAAAAAGTTAGCTGCTAAAGGCACGAGGAGTTAGCTGCCATACACCTCACTGGAAGCAATAAATGAAACAGGCTTGAGGTACCTCCGCACAGGATGACACTATCCCAGGTGAATCCAAGCCCCGCGTTGGAAAATTTATAGACCTCACCAGGTCTTCCAATATGCCACAAAACTGCCTCGCTTTCGTTGCATTAGCTAATAGCATCACCTTGGAAGTAGCCTCGTTGATGGTAGCAAAACGTTAGAATACGCATTAAACTGAGAAAAAAATCAACTGAGTCAAAACAATTCCAAAACAATGTCAGCACCTCAATAAAGAATCCCTGGGGGCAAGAGAACCGAGAAAACAACTTGAGAATGACAAATGCCTATTAAACCAATGTGGCTAACTAAAATTGCCACAAATGCAAGTAGTGGAAGCTAAAAGTTAAGAGAAAGGCATCGAATCCAGAGCAGCTGGCATTTTTGGCAACACCGATCGGGTAGTGGACTAGGTGTTTAAAAAATTGCTCCCTTTTCATCGGCAAGCTATAACCATGAAAGTATAATATGGGTTTTCTTTAAGGATGCAAAACTAATTGGACAGCTTCCAGGCAATCGCATTCCTCTCCACATCAACATAGAGAAAAGGGCGTAGTTTCAAAGTTGCACCTTATTAAAAAAAAACTGAAGCAGCAATGGCACAGTTCAGGACAAACCTCAGCAATGCTCCTCTAAAATAAGCAGGAATCGAGAAATGAAACGGCATCGCCAAATAAAGCGATGAAAAGGTGAAACTGCAAATTAGGTAGTGGGACAGCGGGAAGTTGACTTACGCCTGGTGTCGGACTGGAGAGGCTGCTGTTGTCGTGATGACAGCAGGGTTTGTGGTGGACGGACAGAGAGACTTGCCATCTCCGAAGTGATGCCATTCAGTGTACTTGGAACCTGGTTTCAGGGAGAAAGGAGAAGAGACTTAACGATCGCTATATGATCTAAGCAACTTCACGAAACAGTACGCGTGCACCATAAGTAGTGAGGTTGTGGATCAGGAATTGTACCTTCGAATTCTTTACCTTGAAAAGATCAACTTTCAGCCCTAGAGTATGAGCAATATGATGACTGTTTCGCAATCGCCAATCAAGCAGCAATACCATTCCTCGGATGAGGAGGTAAAGTGATAATAAAACCCAAGTATATGGGGCACTTTAGTCAAACGACTTTGAGACTTTTCGAAGCAAAGAGCAAAGTACATGAAACGCAAAAAAATCCGTTTCAGAAACTGAATGGTACCACATCCCCGGATTTATTCCGGGAAATAAGTAATAACTCAGAAACAGCGCAGAAAGACCCGATAGTACAGCTAAGTCAGCCCACGTCAGTCATCTAAAAGTTGTTCGTGCATCGGTTGCGCTTAGTGCTGTAAGAGACGGAGCCCTATTCTGTGAAGTTACATTTCCTAACAAGTTATACGACGGTTGAGCGCTCAAGATCAAGCATTCTTCACGGTAACCGTTCGTGCAAAGACTAAGGTGAGAATCATTACGAGTGAGATAGTCGCAGACAAATCTACTGCAACCCGCCGTCCTATCACTATGTAATACGGTAATTTGACTAGTCCGTAGATTCAAACGCTTCAACAGGTTAGAGTCTCATATATTCAACGAGAGGAGGTGGTGCTCATCGCCTAATGTTTTCGCATGCATGTGTCGACTATAATTGCCGTCTGGCGCTTTGAGTTAATGGACAAACTTATCATCGCAGTGCCATGCGTAGCACCATCGAGGTACTGCATAGGTATGACGGTAGTAATGAACAAAAGTCGCATTTTTAATCCGAAAACATGGATAACCGACAGATTGGAGAGTAATTTTGATTGGACCAAGTGAAAAAGTTGAGCGCAAAGTGTAGAAACGAGCTCTACAATGAAAATTGTGGAGGAAGGCCAGTGAATGAAGAAAAAACTGCATTGGAGTGAAATTTGACCCTTTAAAATCAGAGATAATGAAAGCTATCTTTGTGAAAACTTAGTTATGGCGAATCACAGCGTACTTGTAAGTGAAAACAAGTTGAACTCAGGAGGTAAGTGCTTCTGCTTTCATCTCGATAACTCGAGGATCTGCATTATTTTCGAATCAGAGCTGTCACAACTCAAGAAAATAGAAGCCTAAAACTAAGAATCAAGCCCTCCCAACATCCATCTATACTAGCAAGTTTGTGAAAATGGGATTTCTTACGCTTTAATAGGTGAATTGTTAGATAAAGCTTTAAAATGCCGTTTGAAGTTTTGAGATCGCGCATGCACTACGCATCTCCTCCTAGTGAATGCATATGACAATTTTTGCTTCAACATTTTAACAACCAAGAACTGTAAGACAGAAAGCACCTTTCATTCTTAAACGAACACAAGTTGTACATCAATTTTAGCCTTGGTCATCAGTCAATATGCACTTTCTACAAGTTTTGGACAAAAGAATTCTGCTACGATGTCAGGAGTAGGAAAGTACTACTAATTGTACTTCCATTTCAACTATTAATTGTTTGACAAATTCTGCTTTAGCTCAAATAATGGGTTTCGTCAAGTGCCAGATGACTAAGGAGTAGAACGATGAACGAGGAGGAGAACGTCTTACCGATGCTACAGAAGTAGGTGCCACTGCTACTGTAGTGCTGTTAGTAGCGGTGGCGACACCAGAAGCATTGGTAGAAGGCCGATTTCCCAAATAATTCTCCTTACCAGTATGGCACAAGAGGCCGGGGCTGACACCATAGGTTCTCGACTCGGGTCTAGCTTCACTAGTTGTCAGGGTGACTGAACCAGCAGATGCTGTTTGAGAGGTAACAGCAGTGGCTAAACCCGACGCAAATGCTGTTGAAAGGAAAGTGTAAGTAAAAAAGAGATGACAAAGGATTGAAAATTAAGCATGAGAACAAAGTTAAGCAATGATCAAGATTACAATTACAGAACACCAGTACAACTAAGAATTTTCAAGTGATGCAGCGGAAAGAGCCAAACCTAAATTTCCTTGATGGAAAATTTCAAAAATCAAGACTACCAGATGAAGTTAGAGGGTGGTACGAGGAAGGTGCGATATTAGAGCAGCCAGTGATAGGTTTTAGACCCTCATTGTTGATCTTTGTGCCGAGCGGCAGTTGCGAAGACAGTGGTGCTGATAGTGGCGGCTGTTTACCGACCATATAGGACGGTATCGTCGTGATCCCCGTCGACTTAAGACGCTGCTGCCAGGACCGGGTGTAGGACTCGGAAATTTGGCGATTTAACCAGGAGATTACTACAGCCAAGAAGTAGAGAAAGCTGTAGATGACAAATGACTAAAAGGCTGATCCAAGTATGGAGCTGATGTTTGAAAAAAAAAACTTAGATACCATCTAATTTGAAGGTGTTCCACTATAACCATATAAAGACAAAGTGCAGAAAAAGTGCCGGCTTGAGTTGGAACGGAGCGGCATCAAAGGATGGAAAGCATTCCAAGTGAAACACCTTTATGTAATCACAGCAACTGAGCAGTGGAATAGGTAAACTACTCATGGGAAAGGCAGCAGGTTTCTTTAACCATCGAGTTGAAGAATTTGCCGTTTTACTTGGTCTTGAAATATGAATTAATGTAAAGCACCAATATTGCAAAATAAAGTTAACATTCGTAACTGCAATAACCGCGATTTCCATCATTTTTGAGAAAATTGTAGTGTGAAAGCAACTCTGAGTTCTTCATCAGAAGAGTCGATTATGTAACATAAGTTGCTAAAGAGGGACAGACGAACAAACCTTAAAACACGAAAAATCTTATTCTTTCCACCTATTAGCCATGCTTTCCTTAAACGATGACGAGTTATTAACATACATTTATATGGCAGAAAAAAACAAATGAAGGTCGCAGAGCCTACTATTTTCATTATTTTCGATGGTCTTTTTTGCTTCCTCGAGAGAGGCCTGTAGCCGACTGATTTGGACCTCTCCCTGCTCGCGACGCCCCTCTTCGGCTTGCAAGCGTCCCCGAAGGTCCTGCAGTGCCGTCTGTATTTCCTCTAGTTCAGACTCCTTTGCGGTCAGTACCTTCTCCTGCTCCGTCGCCACCTGACCGCGTAGTTTCGCCTTTAGAGGAAAAGAACAATTTTTATGCCTGTCTGGAACCGATCGAAATCTGCATCAGTCATGAATCCAACTCTTTGAGCTTTCTGATGCTTTGTTGTATGACAAAGATCAACAAGTATGGGTATCGATGGAAAAAGAAGAAACAATGCTGTCCTACCGATGCTGTCCTAACCACTCCATTAACAATGCTTCAGAAGTCTATGTTAACAAGATGGTTAGACTGCATAAACTCAGATGAAGCTAATAACAAAAAGCAACCAGGACCGACTCATTAGTAATCGCCATTCGCATACTACAAGATGGATTCGCCACATTACTACCTTATATCAATCGTTACAAAAGATACAAAGCAGAGTGAAAAATAGGTGGTTTAAAGATCGCAACACCGAAATCTTAACAGTGAATGAGTTGCAATGTCAAAAATCATCATTGTCCATCATTCCCAAAATGGAAAGTCAAAACTGTGAAAATGGATTTTGACGTGCTAGTTCCCGTGTCTAAGCTCGGAGTGCAGCATTACAGCCAAGGAAAAGTAGGGGAGTCGGCAGCATCAAAGATTTTCAAACAGCGAAATCTTACTCAAAACCCTCTTATGTTTTGTAGTTTCGCAGGCAAACTTGGCGCTCCAATTATTGCAGGTGAGATGGATTAATTAAGACAAAACTCCAAAAGAGTACAGTTTTTTCCTTACCACGCCGCCAATCTGGATAAAAACATTTTACTAACAGCAATTATCAACAGTGTCATACTACCCGAAAATGAAACACTGATACCAACATTACAGCCACGGATAAGAGTAGCATCATTTACGGAGGAGGTAAATAAAGCGACTTTTGTGGCATTACTGTTCCGGATAAAAACACCACTGCCTATTAAGAGCTAGGACTATCTTTAGAAAACAGGCTTGAATATAAAATAGCATAAAATTCTACAATCCAGTTGTGCTATGGACAAATGTCCGTTTTGCTGACCACTAGTATGCATAGAGGCAGTGACAGAACAAGGTTCATCGCACAGCAATAATAACACCAGAAATAAAGAATCTTTAGAAACGCACATAAGCAGATCAGAATTTTAGTAAAATGCACTGTCCCGAAAACAGTTGTCATTCAATAATGGAGTGAAGGTTCAACCATTCTCACAGAAATGAATGCTATCAGAAGCCAGCCACAAGAAGCAAGCATTTGGAAGGACTTTCTGACACAAAAGTAAAGGCAATCCTTTTACAACATGGAGTAAGCCACAAATAACAACCAACCTTGTTCTGGGTGACTTTCAGTTCCTTTTGTAGCTGCTTGATGATACTATTTGCCTTGGTGACTTCAGAGGCCTGCTGCTTCATGAGCCTCTCCAGCTTCTCCACCTGTTTCACTTTTTTTTGAAGATCTTCCTGCATCTCCCTCTAATGGAGAGGTAAAAATTCCATAAGAATTTCTATCGATTGGAGACTCACCAACTGATTCCTTTGAGTACTACACTCTGACTCAAAAGAGCTGGCTCTGCGTTGCTCTACAGCAAACATGGACTCCATGCTGTCGTGCTTTGCCGTTAGTTGGGAAATATTTAACTGGAGCTGCTCGCTTTTGACTTTCAATGACAGAATTTCCGACTTCTGAGCTGCAAAAGCATTAAGCTAGAGCAATTTCCCCTACAAAACGACATACCATCATTGTCACTTTGAACCTTATTGAGGGCAGATTCAGTCTCTTTTAAAGTTTTCGAAAGCTCGATGATCTGAGACTTCAGCTCGTCCTCACGAAGGGTATTTGTCTGAAGTAATAACATGAATTTAAAAAATCTACAGCCAGTAGAGATGCTTGTGACTCCAGTTTTGACCTAAGGCCCGAAATTTCATCTTTGTGAGCTGTTTGAAGAGCTTCTAATTCAGAGAAATGCTTGGATTTTAGCAGCTCAATCGCCTATAACGTTCAAGAAAATAGAGAAAACAGTACCTTGTAATTTGATGAAGTTAGCTGTTCCATTTTGGACTCGTATTGTTTCCTTAAGTCCGACACCTCGCATTGACAACTTTCTTTCATGCCTTCTAGCTTACATTTCAGTTCATTTGACATCTAAGGACTACAATGTAGTACATTAATAATACCTGAGACGCCGAAGCGAGCTGCTGACTGAGGACAGACTCCGAGCGGCGCAACTTTTCCAAAGTTAGCTCGTGAGCAGCCTAACGCAAATAATATTTAAAGAGAACAAACCTTAGATTTTTTGATGTAGGAAACAAGATAGGCTTTAAGAGTTTCATCAGAGGCTGCAGTGAAGTTAATGGCCAAATGCGTTAAACGACGAAAATCCGTTGTTTCCACAATTTCAAGCATATGAGGCTCAGAGGTTTCAGAAAATTGCAAAATATATCTAAACCAAGCTTGAAAATACAGAAAAACTAACCGAGGTGAGTTGTTATTCTCTTCTGCTAGACATTTGGTGAGCAGATCAGCAATCATTTGGCCAAATGCATTGTATTCAACTATTAAACCCTGCTGTTCCTTCAACCTAACAAAGACTTGAGAATAAGCATTTTTACTTCTGGAAATCTGAGGCAAAGATTTTTGCAGTGAATAAGAAGTACATATCAGCGTCATCGGTCAAGGTGATATCAAGGGACTAGGGACCAACTAGAAATTGTCAAAAACGATCTCACTTTCTCAACTTGAACATTCGATGGACTGAGATACTCAACGGTGACAGTTATTTTCTTTCTAGAGCGATCAAAAAACGAAAAAATGACGAACTTGGCGCCGCAGAAGATGATATGATCCTGACAGTAGAACTTCGACATCGCACAACTCTTATCTAGGCTAAACAAAAACCAAGAGCTGCTCTACCATCTCAAGGTGAAAGAGGCAAAATCCCAAGAAGCAGCATAGCTTTCATACAATTAAAAAGTAGGAGTCACTGACATACTGAGAATTCGGCTGATAAATTGCTTAAATGTCTGATTATGTCGAAGCCAAATGAACGAAAACAAAGTTTAATTAAAAAAATAAACGCTACATTAACGGTCGCCGAATTACTGACAATCGGATTCATGTTTATCCCGCACTTGTCCAAGCGGGCTGTTCTTTGGACCAGACCAAAGCCTCACGTCTCCCCCTTTTTCTAAATGCAAGTATTAAGCCATTCCTGGGGTTCAACATCACTATCATCCAACAACCTCTAGATTGGCTCACCAGAAGTCTTTTTTTCTTAAAGAGTTTTATGTGACATCTGCACGGCCAACACAGAGGACGTACTAAATGAAAACGGGAAAAGGATGAGTCTATTCAGAAAAAGAAGCCAGATTGGCCCCTCAGCAAGCACAGTGGCCTACAAGGCATAACTTAAGAATAAACATGCATTATATATGTAGCGTTCGGAGACTTTCAACCGAGTGGAAGAAGGGAGTAAATGGGGTTGGATACATTATTCCAAGGAGTACAAAGCAACTAGGCCCGAGCATGGCTTGAAGACCAGCCCACGAGTATAAGGACAAAACAAATCCTAAAGTGACCGCCAAGCCTCAGGTAGTCACATAAGCAAAGCATCACAATATAGCCTTCTTCTCATTCAATTGTCTTCCCTGGTCCCAGCCCTAAGAATTCCCTTTAGGTCATCAGAAAGCTTCACTACATCTCCTAACGCATAGACTTCGCTCTTGTAGCTGACTGGAGGAGTGCCTATGTAAGGCCGAATCTTGTGATTGTTAAGATTTCGGGGTTGGGAACAAATTTCCGCACTCCGAACGAGCTAATTTGTGGACGAAAGAATATTACCACGTGGTAGTGAACCTTGCCATAGAATTTACCATATGGTAGAATTTACCATAAGTTGCTTGTGGTGGAGTTGGTCTGTATATCTGCATTAGATCATCTCTGTAGAAGACCGTTCCATGAATGGGTGGTAAATTAGTACCCAAAGGAGGGCTTACCCTACGTGCAGGCTTTAATCCCCGTTTATACGTATTTACTAAGGGCCTTTAACAGTTCACAAACGTATGAGTCGCTCTTTATATTTGCTCATTATCCTAAGAATGTCCTGGCACCGTATTTGATTTGCGAACCCCAAAATTTTCCAAGACTGCTATAAGTCACTTCCCGCATTAGGGCCACGATCGATGTAAACAGCTTCTGGTACCCCATGGTGGCAGATCCAAAGGTAGAAGAACGTTGCTGATATTCTTTCAGTAACCAGAGGTCTTAGTGATTCTGTTTCAGCTATTGTAGTGAATTTGTCGAGTATCGCAAAATTTGTCAAGTTTTCCTTCACAGTCGCTGGAAGTGAACCAATGATGGATTTGTCTGCGATTGTAATATCCAGAGTCTTCCCATCACGTAGAAGAGGGCATCGAGTTGTGTTCAATGCATGTATTTCAAATAAAGACGAGGTGAACTATCCCTGACTTGGCTCGGAGGTAAGTTTACGCGTAAAATGGCAAGATGAATATCCTAAAGTAAACGTCAGACATCAGATGGTCACATAACGAAAGCATTACAGCCCTCTCTCTTCAAAACGATATTGACGCTGGATGGGGAGAAGTGATTGCAGTACAATGGAAACTCTTGCAGATAATTCACACGGTTGAACATAGACAAAATCACAAATATCAGTGGTCTGTGGGGATAATCAAATTAAATCCCTCACATCTTCTATAGTTTTGTTTATATTCGTGTACTTGCATTACCTCATTGCTCTTGGAGCTGCAGCATGGATGTTTTCGTTATCAAGCCGGAGACTACAAGTCTTTTGTGGCTTAACTTATCGTTGTGGTACCATAAAACCTCATCTTGGACGAGTTTTGATAAGTTCCACCATTCCTACCTGAGTGACTGGCTTACCGAGAATATATGAGGTGCACTACATGTTTTTCCAACGATGATTGCAAAACTACTCAAAAGCACCAGAGAGTGCTTGTAATACATATTAGTATTTAAGTAGACCGTTATAGGGGAGAAGCAAGAAGCGAATTCGAACGCGAATCCATTGCGTTAGGATCAAGAGAAATCCCTCTCCAAGTGATATCCGCTATTCGGTTCATCTGTACTCCTATTCCCGTTCTTCCTGTATTCAATGCCTGATAAATCTACTGCAACTAACCCTCCCTTGAAGTCCGTGGCTCAAGGGCATGAGGCCAGGCAGACAGAATCCACAGTGCTAACGCGTAGAAGGCAGTGCTGTGCAGTAACACATGCACATGGAGCGATCCATTACGAGTGCAATATTGGAATATTTATAAGACAAAGTTATAATAATAATTTCGTCACTCATGTAATGCTTTGTTCATGTGACTACCTGAGGTTCAACGGTCATTTTAGGATTTGTCTGGTCCTTGTACTCGTGGGTTGGCCCACGGGCCACGCTCAGGACCATTTGCTCTGTCCTCTTCTGAATACATGTATCTAACCTCACATACTGCCTTCTTCCACCCTATGTGAAGTCTCAGGACGCTAGAACTCAAAACGCCGTTAGATTGGTGAGGAAGGCTTCTGAAGTGCCTCTTTCTAAAATAGTGCCTTTTACAAGCAGTGATGCCAAATAAGATTACTGGAATGTGTAATTCATTATTCAAGTGCTTCATCAGATGCAGGAAATCAAAATACGAGTGTTTATATGCTTCTGAAAAAAAGCTAAATGTTGTGGCCACTGTGAGAAATAAACCAGTTGTTGTTTAGCCTTGCTGTCCCTTTATTGGTTGAGAAATTCCACATAGCCAACACGAATCAAAGGCTTTGAATCCGTACCATTTTAGGTAACATAACTTTGGCTCATCTTCGACATAGCATAACAAGTATAAATATCCTAATTAAATGTCCTTTATTATGTAGGTGCCAAATTTAAAACTATTTTATTTTAAAAAGTTTTGTAACTAATTTACTATTTTTTATTGCTTTATGAGCAATTAAAATTCTGGCTTATGTCCTAACTTACAATTTTTTATGACATGAGTCCGAGCAGCCTACTTTTGTTCTTTGCTGTCCTCCACAAACAGTTCGTTTCGCGTTATTTTTGGATTGGTCTGTTTTTATCAGTCATTCAATTGCCCGTCTGTAATGTTGCATCCCCTTCTCGCGGTCGTGCTTAGTTTAATTTTGTTTGAGGATACTTGGTGCTGAACGTAATCCACCTGGCTTCCTTCGTTCACAATGGATCCCCTTAAGGCAGAACGACACCTCCAATTCGTCAGTGATTGCACTGGAGGTTCAGCTTTTGAAGTCATGGGTCTTCTTTTCCTTGTTTGCTCGGTTGGATATCTGAGATTCCTTTTTGAGCGATCATTCATTCGGAATGCATCTAAAACTATGCAAGTTTTTTTCTACACCTCTCAGCTGTCTCACTTATTCTCCTTAGTTTCTTATCGCTAAAGTAATATTGTGAATGCGTTTAGGTGGCAATATTCATGAATTCTCTGAGGACCTGATCCCATTTTGCTTTCTGCCGGCCTAACATTCCCCATGTCTTAATGCTCTTTAATGCCTTCTTCGTTCTTTGGTCTATTTACCAGCGATGTCTCTGTTTATCCTTCCTATTCCGGTTCTTTTTATGCCTTCGTAGTTACTCGTCTATTCTTTATCTTTAGTCAAAAAACGAATAGCTTATTAATAGAATTAGCATTTCTTTGTTTTGAACATCCTCCTGTCGGTCGACTCAATTATGTACGAACTCAACAGTTTTTCGCAACAATCATTCCCTTGTTATTTTTTCTGTCGCATATTATTCCTGCTCGTTCTTTCCTGGGTTGAAGGCTGTTTAATCCGACTTAATTTTCGCATTACTCTTTTTTTATTTACTGCCCTTTTAGGTTACTGACGCTAGACCTACTTGCCACGGTCGTTGCTATCGTACTTCCCTGTACTCTCCTTTCCAATTATGTTCTCGAAACTAACATCATTCTCCTTTCCATAATCTTCCTGTTTCGACTTAAGACCCCGTCCATTTCCCTCATAAACCCCATCACTGTCTTTCCTCACACTCTATCTACTTGGCGTCGACTTGCTCGTGCCTTCGTACTTGTTTATACCTGCATCTGTATCTACGCTGTTGATCTACCTATCTTCCCCCGTCGTTTTGCGAAAACTGAAATGGTAGGCGTGAGTCTGATGGATACAGGCGTTGGCTTGATTGCCGTCATCATAGGTTTCTCAAATGTTGCCTTCCTCGACGCTTGTCGCCATCGTCCTCTCCCTTGCTTCCCTCTGCTCAAGATTGTTGTTAGGTCCGTATTCCCCTGTTTTGCAGTGGGAATTTTGAGGACCGTTGTGGTTAAGGCGTTGGGTTATCCGGAGCATGTGACGGAATATGGCGTGCATTGGAACTTCTTCTTCACGCTGGCCTGCATTCGGGTACGTCACTTGGTTACTCGTATGTTTCTATTTGATCTTTTTTGGCCTCCGGTGTCCTGTTTTATCGACCTCTTTTCCCTTTTGATGTTTACTTGCACCACAGAACTTGTTAAATCGTTCTGATTACTTGTATGTCCGGCTGTTTTAATTTTAATAAACTACTGGAGCAATTAAAAATTTACGACTGAATTATGCGTGTTTTATACCACTATCATCTAAGCTGAAGTTGTAGATTTGTTTCGTCAAACTCTGCTCTGGTTTTGTTTCGCCTGTTCTAATGGAACGAGCGTTGCAGTCAAATCGAACCTTCATTTTTACTTGTAAAAGGCTCTTATCAAAAGTAGACACCTTTTAATCGATGATGACCTACTGTACATCTGTCAGTAAGAGCCTCGGCTGCCATCTTCGCCCCTACCTTAGAACGCGGTAGTCATCTCTGTAAACACTTGACAACTGAAACACTTACCTCTCTAGTCGAAGTGTAGTCTGTATTGCTTTTTGCTAGATAGAAACATTTTCTCAAACTGTGTTGAAAAACTTGCGATGTTGGGGCTTTGCTGCGGTTAGTTTAACGCTTTGATAAGCGCGTGCAAGTGTGGTTGTAGTCCGTGTTCTGTCGAAGTTGTCAGATTGTATTGCGATTTTAGACGTTTCAGCTTAACTTTAGCATCACACTGCCGTTCCACTTTGATTTTTTAGCCGAATTCCACTTTATTTGCAAAAAAAGGCATCTTAAAGATGCTTTAAATGCAGTGGTAATTTGGCTTCATAATTGCCGTAAAACCTCATTGCTGACTTTTTCGTCATCCTACTGAAAACAATGGCCGATTCCGACGCAACTTATTTTCTTTCAAACAATTTTTTGTTTTTTTGGGTGGCCTTAGACCCATCCATCAATATATCTGCTTCATTGCCAACCTCCAAACCGACTCTTACTGTATTTGGCACAGATTTATTTCGCAATGGATACTTTGGCAAGGAAATTAGTACATTTTAAATTGAATAGCTGTTAATGTGTAGGATTGGCTTTCTATATAGCGCTACTTTACCTATCCTCCGTGATTTTCAATTGGGGTGATAAACGAGGAACTACTCATGTTATCTGTTTATCACACAGAGGAACTTGCATGCATCCACTTCTTCATTCAGTTTTCAATGAATCCTGTTTTTGAAAGTAGTTCTATGCTTTGGCCTTTTGGAATTAAAGGGGAAGAAAGGTGGATGCACTTGCATCAGCAATGGCTCGAAACACACTGACATGGACATGCCGAAATCCATGTGTAAGTAGCTTCTTGTTCCACCAAGGCGGGAAAATATCACTAAGTCGTTATCCATTCCTGTGAGCAGTCAGTCAACATGATTGAGTTTTTCATAAAGAACAAAAACAACTACCAATTCTCCCTTCTTTTTCTCACGCAGCTAGGTGGGTTCATTGTGGCGTATGCGCTGAGTTGGTTGTCCGACTTTAATGCAATGAATGCGCACTTTGGTCTCTGTATACTGCTCGCGTGCTTTCAACAATGGGGCGTTCTGAGCTACGCGCAGAACCACCACTTCCTTCGCTTATCCTCCCTCGCCACAACCGAGGGTGGCAGTGACAGGTCCGCAGAAGGTATCGCAGCATTGGTCCGTGTTAATGCGGAGGGTCTGGTCTCGCTGCCTGGTTACCTCTGCCTCTTTATCTACGGCACCGCCATCGCCCTCCTCCTCCGACTCCATCTCGACCCACCCATCTCCCAACCCGCCGACAAGTTGAAAGTTCTCTCTTTCCAGGGCAAGGAGACTTGGTAGATTTTGTTGAGGTTTAACGTGATATGTAGCATAATCTGCCTAAATTACTAATCGTGTTCTACTCATACAAGAATTTGAAAGTTTTCAGATGTTGGTGATTGGTGCTCTTAACAACAAGATGGAATTTTTTCGATGTTGCGAGGTTTACTCCGATGGAATTATTTTCTCAGCGTATTGATATTTTTCTTGCTGACATTGCTGCAAACTCTCATTCTGCCTTTATTTGGTTACGACTAGTGGGTGGAGGCCAGCGATCCTACTGTGTGGCATTTTTGAGCAATGGTGTAGTCTTTAGGCTCCACTTTGACTCCTTGTCATTTCACTGTGAATGACGCGAATCTTTTGGCTATGGCGAAAATTCTCCTTGGCTTAATTTTTACCAATTATTTAACGTCATTACTTGAGCCACACTCTTATTTATTTGTGAATTGAATGTAGTCGACTGAAGTGGGAATTTCCTTCTGCTCCTGCATTCTCAGGAACTTCTCATCGTTGTCGCTTCACCTCTGTGTGGTGCGCAGGCGCTGAGTTGAGATTAGAGCTGAAATGTAGAGCGAATCTTATCAAGCTCATTACCCAAGTAAACAAAGGCAACTGAGATGGATCTAACAGAACTATCCGCCATTTTCGACCGCTTTGTTTTCGGTCTACCGCTCCTCAACCGTCATAAGGGAAGTTTTTAAGCCACTCAAGCGTTTCAAAGGGATCATGTGCATAATGCCAATTTCCACCATTCTAGCCATGGTTTGCTGAAATCAGTAGGCAGACACTGCTCCTCGCGAGATTATTATGAAACATTCGAGGAATTTTAGAAGAGTTGAACATATTTACCTAAAGACAAGACTAATCGTTTGTCTTCTATCCCCTTACATAGTCACTCGTGATGCTTGGCTCGTCGCTTTTCTAGGAACGTGCATATGAAAGGAGCTAGAGATTAGTCGCAGTCTCGAAGGACTTCAAAATAGCCTTGGAGGCTTTCTTTTCTTAATACTACTAAGCTCTGGACTAGTGAAAAGGTGGCTATTGTGTCGTTTTTTCTTTCTCTTTGTGAAATTTCGCAAACCAATAAGTTATGATAGACTTTAGATGAAATGAACAGTTTATAATAGCTCTTTTTGTGGCCAGCAGACAGTGCAGACTGTTTTTTAATTAACAGTAGCGCTTTGAAAGATTGCTTTAGACCACTTTTTTAATCTAGCCGCATTTGTGTACATTTTTTTAGGCAAATACTTGTAGGATGGTAGCAACTTGGAATTACTGTAGCCGGCAATTTTTACTGCTTTTGTACTTTTTGGTAAGTCTTTTGCTTTCTCATCTCGTTCTCAGGGCTGGACAGAAATGGACTTTAAAGAAGGGTGAATAATCACCCACCGTTTTAAAAAAGCATTTGAAGGCGTAGCTTTTCTTCTGGTTCAATGCTAAACTGAGGCATTTGTGAATAATTTTCCCCTACTTTGTTTTGTTGGATATTGGGTCGTAGTAACTATACCAGGACGCTAGCGGTGACTGGTTGATCAGTGAACTTGTTCGTCTGTAGGCGCGGTGACCCCAAGAAGGTTGCCATGGCAGTGCTTTTCATTGGTGTTTTGGCGTTTCTCGTTGTGGCTGTCTATGGTGAGAGCTCCGTTTCTCGGCGTCTTGTGAATCTCCCATACATCGCTCTGCAGGTGAAAACTGCATCTATATGCCTTTTTTCCTTCATCTCACACTGCTCGTCTGCTCAGCACTAACACATGCACTTTCGTCCAGATCGGTCTTCTGTCACCTCTAATGGCGTTCTTTATTTACTGCATTTTCGACATCTCCGAAGCCAAAAGAGCAAAAGCAACACGCAAAGGTAGCTCATTGCCTCTCATACCGCATTGCCTTTCCGCTACATTTGGACAAAGCCTATTCACTCTACTTCAGACGTGATACCTCTCATCACAGTGCTCTCGGACAATGCAATGCTCTACTTTATCCTTTCGAACCTCATCACAGGACTATTGAATCTGCTCTTCGACACCTTAACACTCGCCGAATGGCAGCCGGCTTGGTTCGCGACCATGTGCCAATTCCTTCTGCTGACAACCTACACGGTCACCTGCCCACTGCTCACACTTGCCCTCTCCTCTCTTTTTTGCACGGCACGAACCCAATGTGGATGAATGATGAAGCTGGCTCCCATTGTCCAGTCTCTTTCTTCAAGTCGGAACTGTCTCTTCCGTCTCATTCCTTTTTTTGCTAGTATTTTTTAAAATAAAGGTTGTTTTTTTTTGAATCTTGCGTCTTTCTGGTTTCCCATCCTCTGCTATGCGCTAATTTAAACTCAAGTAATGACACAGTAAAGTACCCCTACCGATTTAGAGTGGACGTCTCTTTCCTTCAATTTCCCTCTTCCATTTCTAACGCATTAATGTTATCAAGCCTTATTTGTGACTCAGCTTATTTCGGCCATTGTCAGCGATTTGCAGGAAGTATTTCGACCAAATAGCGGCGGGCCTTATGGCAAATACTGTTTCCATAATTGCGTTTATACAAATTTCTCGACATTCTTTCGGTCTGTTTAAGTATCGATAGGGTTGCAAGTTTTTTTCTTTTAAACGAATCAATCTGTGACCACAAGAACCACATTTAGACCATAATCTGCGACCTGTTTGGTTAGGTGGTCATTTCTCCAATACCCCAGTCAATGGCTTTGATTCTTTATTTTAGATGACTGAGTCCAGCCAAACGGTTGGTTCGTTACCTACGGAAAGGCGATCAGATAATAATGATGAAGCGGAGACTTCCTCAACCACCAACGTGACCTCACACGGAATAAACTCGACTGAACTCTTCGGTGATCGGAAGAGGGAGCAAGGATCGGTCCATAATGACAGTCGAGATGACGATGATACTGTTGGTCCACTTCCCTCCGAAATGACTTTGAATGACAACAGTGATGACAATAAGAGGGACAGGAGTGATGCGCATGACGACACTGTGGGTCCTCTCCCCTCTGAAATGGAGGATTCGTCTTCTACTATGGAACCTCCGAAGAAAAAGCCAAAGAAAAAAGGCATGTGTTTAGCTAAATTTTTTTTAGCCATAGTTGTAGCGTAGGCGCTTGGGTTATTTAAAACCACGCTTTGCCACATTGCGAATTGTCGTAGATGCGGTATAAATAATGACTGTTGTCACGCCTTTTCCCTCTCCTTAGTTTTGAAGGACGAGAGTATCCTCCTGCGAAGCATACCCACAGCGCAGTATTACGAGATTAGCTACATGCATCGCAATGTCATTACACATCTCTCCTACTCCAGGTAAGTCCTAAGGCTTGCTTAAAGTTCATTGACAATGCTTTTGTAGTTAGAGACATGCTCACTGCAATTTGACCACCTCTAGTTGTAGTAGTCTTTTGTACCTCAGCCAGCGCAGATATTACTGTGTCTTGAAGCAATCTACTACCCTGTATCCGTTTTTCTGCCTGTCTTTGACATGTTTTTTTTTTGCTTTTAGAACACACTATCTCATCACATGCAGTTGTGATGGTCACTTAAAGTTCTGGCGCCTAGCCGCGACGCGCGGCCTGGAATTCGTCAAACACTATCGAGCACATCTAGGTTGGTTCCGCTGCTTCTAATTCACCTCCTCAAGGGGTGGTGGATTTGATTCCCTGAAGTGACGCATAGCTCGAATGATTGGTCCATAATTTTTAACTTTAACCTTAAGGCTGATTTCGCTTTCATTGCCTCTCTAAGTAGTCGCAGTGTCGTAAAACCCAACTTACCCCTGTAAAGAGGCTGCAGGAACTGAACGGCTGGTAATGTAGGTCTCCGTGCTTTGTAAAGCTGCGATTGCGCAACATCGCCATTCCTCCTTAAACTTCCTCCGTGCGCATCCGATTTGGAGGAGGCCTCGGCTCTGGAACGTTGTAGATCCAGCTTACGTTCCCAAAAGCGTTTTTTTTATTATGTGCATTTGCTCATACCAAAAGTCTCTCGTTATCTAAATTGTATTCTATCAAATTATCACTGCACTTTTTTCGCACGACTTATCACCTCTCTTGTTTCACCATTTTGGCTATGGATACCTGCTTCAATCAGATCTGCCTTAACAGGCACCTCCTTGGGTTAATGTTGTTTGTGTTTCTCGTTTAATTCCTGCAGACTTCCACTTTCAAAAGGAAGTACCGTTGAAGAAACCGGTTGGATTTCTTCACGAAACTTGCGCATTGCAATTGAGGGATTCGCTTAGCTGTCTTCTATTAGTTAGAGTACTATTGGATCCTTGAAGTGCTTTTCAGCTTGTCTTCCACGGTATCGCGATCATTTACTATCATTCCCACGTTTCAGGTGCCATCACTGGATTGGCAGTCAGCTACGACGGCGAGTTGGCTTGCACTGTAGGTGATGACAAAACTGCCAAAATCTTCGACATTATTAACTTTGGTGAGTGCGTTTGTGAAGCTTCGCCTCTCCTCCCTTCTAGGGGTGGAAGCTATTGTTGAGATGTTGTTTACTGAAGTCCAGTTTCTCTTAAAGCTCGGTTTGGAAGACTTACCTTAAAATCGTTTTTTTGAAAATGATAAAATATCTTGCTTTAACTCTGCAGTGCTTGAATCCTAGTTCTGCGTAGGTTCTCTTTCCTGATAATAAAACGGCCTCGTTTGATTGCCTGTAAAAGTTTTGCCACATTTCTAGTACTTCATTACTTCTTGAACAGTTACTGTTTGTTGGATCTTCAAGGAGTTAAATGAAAAATAAGGTCACCACCGTTCTGCGCTTTGGTCTTTTAGACATGATCAGCATGATGAAGTTGGGTTTCGTGCCTCGAGAATGCTGCTTTGTCTACACTGCCAAAGATGGTTGCGCTGCCGTCGCCATGTAAATCTCCTCTTCCCAGAAAATGCATCTTCCCCTCTTTGCAGCCTTTTTTAATGGAACTATCAAATCGCGGCTAATAGCCGCACTTCCTAGAGCCTTAATTTTTTGGATTCTGAAGTCCCTTCCCTCCTCAAATCATCTTCGCTGAGGTGCCTCTTGAAGGTCGTAGCATAATCAAAGAGTTGTGACGTAATTGCAGTATGCTACCATTATCTAGGAAGAGTTCTCAAACTGAATTTCATCATGATGAATGTCACTTGTGCCACAAAAAGCTTCCAAAGGTCAATTTCAACATTCGGTTTCACATGGAGAAATTGACGATTAATCGTTCGTTGCTTCGAAAGGAACCGAGAAATCGTGACACGAAAGACAACTCCTGGTGAAGTTAGTTTGTTTACCAGGAGGTACTCATGCTTACAATTAGTATCAGATATGCGCCTAATCCCCCAACATCATTCCAAATTTACCTCTAATATTGGAAGCGTCTTCATCTGAAAGGTAGCTTTCGACGCTTACTCTTCGAGTACTGCATTAGTTTCCTCTTCATCTAGTATGGTGTGAGGTGTTTGGGTCTTGCCAGTTCACAGAAGACAGAAAGCCAGGCTGGTCGGCCTTTTAGCTTGTGGAAATTGGGTCTCTTGAGTGCAGCGAATGCCTGTTTGTTGTGACGATGCTTCACATCACATCAGCTCCCTTCTCCTGAAACCTTAGCTGTTTCCAAATTGTAGCGCGGATCGTGACAGCAGCGCCATCCACATTTATGACGCTCGCACAAAGGATACACTTTTGAGGAAGCTTGAAAACCTCCACGCCAGTTCTGTCATCGCCATTGCTGTAGGTTAACATGTCTTTTCTACCATCTAAGCTATCCGTACATGACATGGCCAATTCGTCTTCCTTGGTAGTTCTGTCCAGCGTTGGAGACAGTCGTGAGCGCTGATACGGAGGGCATGCTGGAGTTTTGGTCAACACCTCGGCACGGCTTCGACGCCCTCCAGCGTCCGGCTGCACTCCATTGGACCTCCAAGATGGACACCGATCTCTATTGCCTTCTCAAGGATAAAACTCACGCCATCAGTCTAGCCTTCTCCCCTGACGGTGGTCGTCTGCTCGCTTGCTTTGGCGCGGATCGGAAAGTTCGTCGAGTTGCTTTTACTTTCTCCCTATTTGTCGAAATTTATATTATATGTCTGCTTTGTTAGATTCGCATTTTTAAAACACTAACGGGAAAGCTTTCTTTGGTCTATGACGAGAGCATACAGCGTTACTCGGAGCTGCAATCGACGAAACAGCTTCTACCCAGCATGGAGTTTGGACGGCGCCTGGCCCTAGAGAAGGAATTGGATCGATCTGATGGAACTCACATGTGCAACCTGGGTTAGTAATGGGAATGCTTTAGTTTTTTTTTTTTTTTTTTTGATGTACTAGATCACGGTCATTTAGAGGGACAATAAAATTGCGAGTGATGGTGAAAGGTGTTTAATGTTGCAAACTCTTTTCACTTCTTTTCGGTTGCTATCCTCCCATTAATTTATTCGAGTTTTCTGTTATTAATTAAAATTGTCTCAACTGGAATGACCGATTTTCATATGCTACGTCTTCAGAATTTGACAATTCGGGCAACTTCCTAGTCTATACTACGCTCTTGGGTGTGAGGGTGGTGAATTTAGTAACCCACCGGTTGGTACGATGCCTGGGAGGCCCGGAGAACCTCCGTTTCCTGCAGGTTGCACTGCTACCGGCGCGATCAGCAGTGCTGCAGAGCGCCACTGCAATGGCTCTCCTTGGCATGGATTCCGCCACTGCCTCACTCGAGATGCATGCGGCTCTTGAGGAACCACCTACCGATCCTGGAGCCGGTGGCAGTAGTAGTAATGCAACTGGATCTTCCACTAGTACTTCACATTCTCGCGACCCCGTTATTGTGTGCACTGCCTTCAAGAAGAATCGTGTATACCTTTTTACTAACCACGAACCACATGAAATCAAGTCGGAGTACGTCAACGTCCTTGTAATTACGCTACCACTTCTTTGGTATTAGTTAGCTTTCATTTTGTTTAATATTCCAAACATGGAGAATTAATGTGCTTTAAAGCGTACTCCACAAATTCACCGCATCACTCAATGATTTTGTACTGTTTCTTATTAAGAACCCAATCTGACACCATTGCAACCACATTTATGACTGATTGTCCCATTTATGTACAATAGCGGTGTTACCTTGGCTGTGGGTTCTACAAGTGAGCGAGACGTTTTCAATGAGAAGCCAACAAAGGAAGAGGTGCTCGCGGCTTCACGTGACTCGGCAGCTGCAACTACAGCATCCCTTCGATTGGCAGGTTCTGCCATTCTCCATACCACCATTGGTGACATCCACCTGCGTCTGTGGCCGCGTGAGTGTCCACGCACCGTGGAAAACTTTGTAGGGCACGCTCGTGCTGGCTACTACAATGGGCATATCTTTCATCGTGTAATTAAGGGTTTCATGATACAGACTGGATGCCCCCTTGGTAGGTAAAGAGAAATGCGTTTACTTATTTAGCCAAAGTTGTGGCCCATCCCTCACATTTATTGCTCTTCAGGTACGGGCACCGGTGGCAAGTCAATATGGGGCGGGGAATTTGAGGACGAATTCCACCCCAGTTTGCGACATGATCGCCCCTACACCGTCAGTATGGCCAATGCTGGGCCCAACACGAATGGATCGCAATTCTTCATCACCGTGGCTCCCACCGTAGGCCTTCTCACTCATCTTGGTGCACATCCTGAACATTTCTTTACTCCTATGCACTTTTTTTTCAGCCATGGTTGGACAACAAACACACAGTGTTTGGCCGCGTAATCAAAGGAATGGAGGTTGTACAGAAGATATCAAATGTCAAAACACATCCCAAGACCGACAAACCGCTTGATGATATCAGCATTATTAGCATCAGCGTAAAGGATATCGGAGGGGGAGCCTAAATAAGGGGGTTTGCGCAAGCAGATCTTTGATATTTTAATAAATTTGCAATTGCTCGACCACCTTGAGCATTTAGTCACTGTCCCCTTGGGGCTTCGAGAACATGGGGATCTGCGTGGTGGGATTCGTGGACTATGAGTTTGATCCACTTGCAGGCTGGGCCTGTCTGACGGTACTTTGCTACTTTACCTGCTCTTGTACGAATGGACTAGCCTTCAAGCTGGGTCAAATCCCATTCCCTCCTCTTTTCTCTCTGAATGGGTGTATTTTCTCCAAATTAATGCTTTCTTCTATCTGCGGGGAAATCTCGGGGTGATGCGAGGCAAACGTAGGCGAGGGCGAACGTATAAATGTTCGGATTAGATTTTATCCTCCATGGCAGCACTTGATGAGTTCTTTTTGCTGAGAATCAATTTAGATCGAGACAGAGCCGTAGTGCTTTGGCTAATTGACTACTTGTATCACTTGCACCCCTCTTGGCTGCCATTTTGCTTTTGGAGGACGGAGTGGTTCCAATTCAGTACTTCCCAGTTGAATGCTCTAATACTTTGTTTATGGAGTCATATGACGTTTGATGATCACTTTAGGATTTGTCTGGCCCTTGTAGGCTGGCCTTCGGGCCAAGCTCAGGCCCATTTGCCTTGTCATCTTCAGAATACACGTATCCAGCTGCACTTACTGACTTCTTATACCGGTTAGGAGGTCTCGGGACGCTACAAATGCAAGTATTGAATTAAGCGTTGTGCCATCAATAACCAAAAGGGAAGTCTCTAGATGTTGCATATAGGTTTGTGTTCTGACAACTAATGTATAAAATTTTCAGCAGTGAAAAGTAGCAGTGCCACAGTAGCCAGTACCAAGCTTGATGATTGTTAGGTGACTCATGTCTAAGAAGTTTAAAACTTAGTAAAGGAACATCTGTAGTTTCAGAGCGTTAACTTTAACTTTCCACGCCTTGTCTTGGTGCTATGAGCGTATTATAAAATTATTACCGATTTGAGGATTTTTGAAAAGTTTAAATATGTAGGTCATTTGTTTGAATTGACTGTTTCGCATTGATACTATAACTTCGGTAACATTGAAAATTTCAATAGCGTATGTTAAAATAAACCCTATGCTGAAATGGTATCTCGAGACGTGAACATACGGGTAAATGCGTCTAAAAAAATTGAACAGCGTTTGTGCTTTCGAGCTCAAACAGAAGGACAAAAGTATGTAGAAAGCTTATCCAAACCATTTGTTGAACCGATGGTAAAAACGCAATTGTAAAGTTCCACAATTTTCAAGGCTAATCTCAGGGAATATCGAGAATATAATAGCATAGAAAGCATACGAAAAAGGGAGGCGGAAAAATGGGAGTCGAAATTGGGGTATAGTGTGCTTACGACAAAAAGAACACGAGGTGATCTTGATGAACACAAGATTGAACTAGCTGAATCATATGCGAGAGCTCCACTGCTACCGTACGATATGGAGGTAGAACAAGTAAAGAAACTAGCTCTTATTCAGATGTTTAGAACAAGTTGGCTGTTCAAATGGGAAATGCTAGAGGCTTCTTGGTAACTAAGAAAGCTCCAAATGAGCACACTTTCGGTAGGATAAATTGATCTACCTTGTTTACTGAGCTTTCATTATTTTCCTACAGGCGTTTGCTCTGAGTCAATTCTAATAGATGGCAAGTCCTTTATTAACACTTGTTTCTCATCTTGACTGCTTGGAACAAATGAACAAAAGCTTGTGTTATTGCTGGTTTTATAGAAATCGCCTCTTATGATGGTGAAACGGACATTGCCAAGATCATAACCGTTTTGAAAACCAGACCTGAGATAACATTTTTCTATCTGACTCACAATCTTCCGAAGAAACACATTGATTATCATTACTATAACCTAAAGTGAGGCTCATTTAAAAAGATTTTTGAACCATCTAGAGTCACATCATACCAGAACATCAACAAACGCGACTACTACACCATAAGTACCAGTGGCTGCACCCACTTTGTTGGCGATGAGGTGGAACTCACTTCTCTGGAACGATTTGAACGCGAATACAAGTTGTTTTTGAGCATGCGAAAGGTCAGCTTTAAGAGTTGTTAAGAAACCTTATTTTTGATAGTTCGTTCTCACTTTCCATTAGTCTCATTTGAATACTCCAAGGGGAACGCAATCGATTTGTTTCAGAAATTATTTTATCTGCAAAGGAAGCCCGCAGGAGCATTAAATTGACTGCGGCCTAATAAGTACGAAATCAAAGCATCAAGTTTAGGCAAGAAGTGATTAATTATACATGGTTTATTGGGGGATTTCTTTTTTACGGTATTGATTATTCGATCCCTCTTGATAAGTTTGTTGTAACATCGGTCCCTCTATAGCAAACCATACCTTGTCTCCTCAAATACCTATTGTTGAATCTAAAGTCGACTATATGCCTTTGAGTTCAGCAAATTCTCGGTTTTCAGCTATCTTCCAACTGCACAACTTTTCTTGAGTATATTCCTGTAAAGTATTTAAACTGAAATATTTTAATCATCTTTAATACAAGTTTCAAAACATTTATGATTGAGCTTACACTTTATCCACCTTGGGTGAAAATATCGATACAGGACTCAGTTCTCAATATTTGTCAATGAAGGCATACATCTTAGTATTCCATCGGTGAATTATTCAACGCTACAGAAGCTGAAGTTATGGGGGATTTATTTATTGTTCTGGAGGATAAAAGCGTAGCTAATTGCCGTCTGTCACTGAAAGCAGTTTTATGCATTTTAGACTCACTGTTTCGAGAATCGGCTAATCAGAGCGTTTATAATTTCGTATCTATACGTAACGCTGATTAACATTTTAGCTACCAATCGTTTCTATTTGCGAGCGCTATCGCCGACAGTTAAGGTAAAGCGCCTAGCATTTCGTTTTCTGCTTGTCCACTTGCAGCTCCCCTTGTTTGCGCAGTTCCGCCTGTGGAAGGTATTTCTTCGCTGGCGCAAAGTATTTCGCTACGCTCAGATGGTTCACTGCCAGCGCTTCCTTGAGGCAAATCTCTTTATTGCTAATGCGACCTTGCGCCCAGCCTTACTAAACCTCCGAGAGATGTGTCACAGCCTTTCCGGTGCTGCACTTTGTCGCGTTGATCGAGGTCGCACTTCCACCCTGGTGGAGTTTCTCGCTCTGCAGATGGTTCAGCTGGGCGAGGTCAGCCTGCGGCTACAAGAGTTTCATAGTCTCACGAAGGAAATCGTCCGTAGTGCCTGTCGAACAGCTCTGCTGGAGTATGGATTCTTGCCTGATGACTATCTACAGGATGAAGCCGACCTTCCAGCTAGTTTGGGTGGGTTGCATCTATTTTAAGGCCCCCTAATCTGATTTCATTAAAGTACATTCTAAGTGGTGTTTAGCGAGCCCTTTTGAAGCAACTTTTGTTCAACTGTTAACGCAAAAATAGAAAATCAGATTCAAAGGAACAATTATAAGATGAAATTTGAGACTACCTAAACCGAATCGGTATTACTTGCACTTTTGGTGGGCGTGGAATACAGGCAAAAATATGTACGATGTGGACGAGTTGATAGATGCCTGCAAACTGACCTCGAAGCACTACCAATTGGAGCCCATCCTTTACGACGTGGATCACCCACTGGCAGGCAGCGCCATGGCTCCCATTGCCACGGCGCTCAAACAAGTGCGCAATAATCGCACCAAGTTGGAGCGTCGCTGCCAGAAGATCAAAATACGTAACTTGCACCTCTCCAGACCTTCCGTTGCATTTATTTTCGGTTGTTCGACAGTGATTCGTTTGTTGCACTTTATTTGTTGTGTTGTACCGGATTTCACTTATTTGATCGTTTAATTGGTATTGTTGAATATATGTCCTCTAAAAGTGAAGAAAAAGGGGCTGTAGAATTTAAGATTCAATCTTTCACAAATTCAGCTTTCCTTAAGCTCTCTGTAGCATCTGATTTCATATCTACTGAATTTAAAAGCAACTCAATTATACCAGCAAATCCCTCTCAGACACTTGGTGAAGGCAGTAGACTTTGTGTTCCTTTGTGTTGCAAATATACTACAATTTTGTGGGAAAGCGGCTAATCCACTCCTCTCACTTACAGAAGCTCCAGCCGGGAAAAGCTCCTACCTCCTGCAGTGTGCCGAAACCGATTGGTTTGCCAGTTCGACTGGAAAAATGAGCTACACGCAACAGGCACGCAAACGCAAGAAGTGCAAACGCCTTACCTGGTCAGTCCCATCGGTCTGAGTAAATAGTTGCGTGCTCATTCTCATGCTCATGTTACACCTTTCTACCATTCTACTCCTACTAACATTGCTCGCCCCGCACTAACCCGCTGAATCGTTAGAACCGTCACTTGTCATCACTTGGCTCTTGGACTTCTAGCTTTGTGCGACTGGTGGATTACCTGATAATGAGCACGCTGCATTTTTTGACGAAGAAATCTGTCTATTCTATCAATCGTCTCTTTGCGGATGAGGTGGCGATGACACCACACCCGCGAGACATCGATGCAATGCGCATTGAGGTGCCCCTCGTGCTCCACCCCGAGGAGGACAGCGAGCGCGCCGGTGAGGCACAGGCGGAGGAGGGTGAAGCTGAAGCAGGACTTGTAGGGCAGGCAAACGTAAGTGCCCAGGCGGGCCCATTAACTTCTCAAACTGTGAACAAAGCCCAGATGAACAAACTGAATGTAGCAGAAACAGTTGGTGAGGAATATGGAAGCTTTTGAGAATAACCTTCTTTCTCTACTTCATTCATTTGTATTTTCCTAATGGTGTTCTTTTTGGGGAGATGCAGTCATATTGCAAGTATGTAGGCAAAAATAAGCTGGAGGTAAAGGCGGTCAGGAGCATACTTGAGCGCTTCTGTCAAGAGACAAATCCCTGTCAGGTCTGAAAGCAAGGGTAGATCGACGTGGTGATCGACACACCAAATGCATGGTTTGAAAAGATATTTAAAATCACAATAACAAGCACTTATAAAGTGGAAATTTTTTATTTTCTAGATGGGACCAGATTCGACAATCGGCCCCTCCGAGACTACTATTCAACCGCCTTTCTTTTTGAATGAACTGATTCTGCAACAAAACCAGATTATATCAATTCCAACGGAGGACCAATTTGTCGAAGGGTTGTCAAATGTGATCGCCCGCTTTCAGGTAATTTACCACTTGAACGGATGTAAAAAAATTGATTGAATCAATTTCTTTAGCATTTCGAATCGTGTCAAATTGATTGCAGAACCCCGACTTTCGTATTTGTTTCAAATTCCCCACGAAAATTTATACATAACCACTTGTCTAGATAAATTCAACATCCACAGAGAACGAATTGTTGAGGTGTTACGAGAGGCAATCCGATATCATTTATTCAATTTCTCTCAGAACAATGTCCCAAAGTCCCGTTTTTGCTTCGACATTACTTATAAAAAGTTGGGCGGTTACGTTCTTAGCATTTTTTCCACATAGGAAGCAATGCTGTCATTAACGAATCTCGTGGTGGACACCTACTTTGACGCCTTTTCGCGTCCCCTCATCAACAACAAGCATGAGGAGAAGACTTGTGGCGTGGGGCCACAGTTGCAGACAGTGTTTGCCGAAGACGATGAAATGCAGACTCTAATCAGAGGTATCAATGAGAACCTTCGGAAAGCCTTTGAGTCCGTCCAACGCTACATCGTCACCTTCAATGAAATAAATCAGTTCTACAAGGACAATGACTTGGTTACAGTGGAGACAGTAAGGGCCGAACGCGAAGGTACTTCTGTCCCTAGGTGTCAAACTAAGCAACATTCTCATTTGTTTATGCTTGCGCCACTGTTTATCCATTTTTCAACCATTTCTGCTCGCATCCAGTCTGGTTTGCTAGCCTTCCATACACATCTTACTGGCCTTAATGCTCTCTACACTTATTCTCCTTGACCCATTTATTTCGGAGCTGTTATCCACTACTTCCGGCATTTGCCATCATCCTTTTGGGCCATACCCCTTTAACCAAATCACCTCAACTTCGTCACTTTTTTCTGTTTTCCATTTCACCATCTCCATTTACTGGAATCGAAAACGAAAGTCATGTGTTGCCTTTCATTTATTTTCAGTATTACAAGTAGTTGCACAGCATTAATCAAGATTATCTCATCAACTGGATGCCTTATACAGACAAGCTAAATCCATTTTCCTCTTCTGCAGAAAGAGTGAAGGACCTGACTGGGGTCGAAAAAATGCAAGAAGGTGATGAATTTAACTTTTAAAGCAGATTGATTGCCTACAATCTTGCAGAATCCGGTCCTCAATTTAATGTTTCTTTCTTAGGAGGTAGTCACTCAAGGCACTTTAATGCAAACCACTACCCATTTTAAGTTTTTAACTTCTTATAATGCAGAAATGTTATTAATCAGGAATTGGGGGTTAATTTAACTTTATGAAGGGGTTTGAACAAATACTGAATTGAACAATTGCGTCGATGGCTAGGGATTTGTGTAGGTGTGCATTGCGAGCTCGCAAGTTGGAAATGAAAATACTAGGCAATATGAGTTATTGCTTGAAGCAATGGAGCACCATTTTGCAGAGATTGTTTAAACGGTCTCGCTGACCAATGGCAGTTGCAAATTGTCCGTTCTAATAAAACAACCTGCAGAGGCGACCCGCCATTTGATTGGTGCGTCCGCTCCCATATTTTAAGGCGATTGGCTGCCTTGGGAGCCAATTCCTCTACTGCTTCACATGTCCCTAGCCATATGAGAGGGAATTGAGAGTATGACATTACAATCGGTTCTTTTATTCTTATCACAAGTTTTTGCATCACCGCATGAATAGAAGTAATTCTTAATCAAACTGTCGATTTATGCATTTAATGGACGTTACCAAATCACTCTTAACAAGACAGAAATGGCAAACATTCAACTTTTGAGTTTGTATGGCGGTTCGTCGTTGCTAAGACTAATGAATAACAGTTGAGCAGCCTACTTTTGCATTCAGAAGCCTAAAGATAAAATCCTTTAGGTAGCTTTCATTGTTTCATCGTTTGAAAGAACCGCTTCCACTCAACAATTTGTAAGCCAAATCTCCTAGACAAAGTCTTTTCCTGTCCAGACGTGGAGTTCTTCCGTGAGAAACTAGCCATCTACACACGTCAATCACGAATAACGATGCTGATTCCAGCCAACAAGCCCCTTGGTCTCTTCAGCGTGGACACGAGCGTCTTGAAAAACATTGTATCACCGTCGCCTCTGCGCTGCCTGGATTGTGTTTACGCCATACTCCCTGAGATTGCAAGACATGAGGTTGACCGGCTGACAAAGGAGACCCAGGAGGGAGAATATATTCTAACCCTCAATTTGAGCACCGCAGTGGACTATGTCAACCACCTTACATTTCTAAGGCAGATACAGTTGCGGGTAGGTGCAGGAGAGAAATGGAATTCATTGATTTGTAGCTCGAAAAGTCACAAAGGGAAATGTGAGGTCCATCCTGATAATCCCAAGCCAAAATAAACTGCTTTTTTCCGCATTGTAGATTGAAGCGCTGGAGAGAGAAGCCGATGCAGTCCGCTCAATGTACGAGCTGATCGACATTTTCAATGTTCCTACACCTCCCGAAGATCTTGCTGTCTATCAAGTAAGCTAGTAGTTTTATGGAAGAAAAATTTAACTATCGCCGTAATGACGAGCTCATTGTCTCTGCTTGTAAGCAAGAGATTTTGCCTCATACAAGTGTATTTGCACATATCGTGAAATAAAATGGATAAAGTTACTGGGCAATAAAGTTACTCTACGTCTCCGCCCACGCAGATCCTCTTTCCGAGCATCGAACGCACCATCACAACCATTGACAGAGCCCTTGCTGAACGCGACTCCCTTGTCGATGTCTTTTTCGGGTGCTTGAATAAGGACATTGGGGAGCTCATGAATGACGTCAGGGAGGCCAAACAGGCTGTCGGGGTAATGTAATGCAACGCAACGAAAAACAAACCACACATTTATTAGATGACAAGACCAATGTTTACCTTTTAAATCCATCCATTTTGCAGAACCCAATACTGTTGGACAATGGACAGAATAGGGATGAGCTTATACAGGAGTTAGATCGACTACAGGAAATCGTCACGGAACAACAGTCACGTTATCAGACATATAAGGGATATGAAAAGAGTTTTAAAGTAACTACACTCCTCCCTCGCTTCTTGGCTCCATTTGCTCTCGTACTATTGTATTTGCTGTACATTTTAGGACCTCACATTGCAGATTAGCGGCACTCCACTTGAGGTTTGTTGTTTGTTTGACCCGAAACATGCTAATGGGACTCAGTTCAACCGTATCTCACGATACTCAGGGTTATTTTAGGACCAAATCCTGAATAGACCAGGTGTGAGAGCAAACAATTTCTTGGTAAGGTTTCTCCCTCTATCTTGGTTGGGCTTTATATCGGGAACGCTCAAGTACACAGGTTTGTTTTGTGTCTTTCAGGAGTGGCTCGGAAAATTGTATCCAAATGTCATCAAGGTAAGACACTTCAACAAGGACTAAGGTCGTATAATCCTTGACTTCTCTGATTCATTCGTATAAAGCATTTGAAGCCACAATGTTCAACTTACCAAAGCCAAAGGCGCTGTTTCCTCCTCAACTTCGCCTCCTGATTTAGGTTGAACAACCGCATTACACAGAACTTGACGAACTCTTCACAGAACTGCGCTTGAAGCGTCTTCTGTGGACCTGCATGGGCGAATGGGAGGCAATTTGCAAGACTTGGGAAGAGGTGGAATTCTCCAGTCTTGACCCGGAAGAGGTGACTGCTGTCACAATGAAGTACCTTAAATCCGTAACCCAGCTAGAAAAAGGCCTTCCGCCCAACAGTGTGGTGCCGATTTTGCGTCAAAAAGTTGATGAAATGCGAGTCATTGTAGGTTCAACCTAATGCACTTGTTTGTTGCCTTTCGCCTCTTCAAAACACCTTCCTTCTAATGCTGATCTCCAGCTGCCAACCGTGGGAGACTTGAGAAACCCCTCGCTTCAAGACCGACATTGGGTGATGTTGGAGGATATCATCGGCTTCAAGATGGCTGAGCTTGATGTTCCATTGACTTTGGGCAAGTTGAAGTCACTAAACGCCTTCGAAAATGCTGCAGAGATTCAGGATGTAGCTGGAATGGCTAGTTCTGAAGCAAGTCTGGAAGCACTGCTACGAAAGGTTTGTTAAAGCCCATCGAGTTACCGCCACGTAGACTTTCCCCATCTAAAAAGGTCGAATTCCTTTAAACCCCAGTGACTGCACGTCCTCCTTCCTTAAAACATTCGTCTTTGATTGAGGTGTCTGACTTCAGAATCCTACTCTACTATTCATTTTACAAAATTTGTTGTTAGAGTGATTCATATTTTAACCCATGAAAATCAAACCCATGTGAGAAGACAAACAAAATTCACATTACTTCTTTTTGACAGAATCATTAAGGTGGAAATGCGTTATAGGTAGAGAACTCCTGGAAGTCCACCGAGTTCATTGTGGTGCCCTACAAGACCTACAAGGACGTCTACGTACTGGGTGGTACGGACGAGATACAACAGCTGTGGGATGACTCCAACATCAACATTTCCACCATCGCATCGTCGAAGCACGTGGGTCCGATCAAACCCCAGGTGGATGAGTGGGTGCAGAAACTCGCTCTGTTTGGGGAAACTTTGGTGCGTTGAGAAAGTCTACCTTTAGTGCTCAATCGACGATTACGAAATTCATTCCCATCCGTACTTTGGGAGCTAAAATTGTTCAGAAACTGGTTTCAGGTTGGAAAATGCTGAAGAGTTGGGTGACTGATTCCCAATATCCTTCTTCTTTTTAATTGGTAGCAGATTTAAAAGGTAATCACCTAAGCCAGTAAAGTAAGGGCGTCATTGTGGTCAATTAATGTCTAATTGACGCTGCATCCAACAATGCGCCGCAAATTTAAACAGTTGATTTGCACAATGCGTCGTTCTTAAATCTCTGCGGGTGCCGTGTCAGTTATGAATCTCAAGAATCTTTTCGCTCAATAAATAAAGCAGCTGTACTTAACAAACGTATCGTAAAATAAAGTGGCGAAGAAGATCCGTTGTTTTCAGCAATGTCTTACTCCGCCTCCGCTTGGTTACTGCCTTTTAAGGACCAATGGCTGGCCTGTCAAAAGGGCTGGATGTACCTCGAGAGCATCTTTTCAGCACCCGACATTCAGCGTCAACTACCCAGCGAGGCAAAGAGTTTTATGGCTTTAGACAAATCGTTTAAAGAGGTGATGCGCAAAGTACAGAAGGTACCACTTGCCATGCGAGCGGCCACTACGGCGGGTCTGTTAGACACCTTTCGCAATAACAACGTCCTCCTCGAGCAGATTCAAAAGTGCCTTGAGGCCTACCTCGAGTCGAAGCGCGTCATCTTTCCGCGATTCTACTTCCTCTCCAATGATGAGCTTTTAGAGATTCTGGCGCAGACACGGAATCCTTTCGCGGTACAGCCACATCTTCGCAAATGCTTCGATGCGATTGCGCGGTTAGAATTCGCTCTCAATCCTGAATTTGACGGCAAATCTGATGGTATTTCCATATTGATTATGTAGTTTAATAATAGCGCTTATTGCCAACTTATGGCTCCTCTCGGTACCTACTCATTCCTGCATGTATTTACGTTATAGAACCAAAATTCACTAATGACATACTTTCGATGGTTTCCCCGGAAGGAGAAAGCGTTTCCCTAACCAAGGTAATTCATTTCATTGAAAAAGGTAATAGAACTGCAAAACAATCGAGAAAATCTACATTTCTAGACTTATCACAATTTATTTTGGAGGAGCAATAATTCAACTGTGATTAGCGATGGTCTCAAACATCCTGCGCATCAAAGAGGAATGAAGGAAGGTAGCGTTTTATTTTAAGGGTTTGAAGGCTCGCGGAAATGTGGAGGAGTGGTTGGGTAAGGCGGAGGAGAGCATGGTGTCGAGCTTGCGGAGGAGTATGAAAAAGGCATTAATGGACGTTGATACGATGGCGCGTGATGATTGGCTCGTCGCACACACCAATCAGATAACACTAACGGTGGAGCAGTTGGTTTGGGCCCGCGATATCCACAATATTCTCGACGATCTGGAGAAGCAGCCGCAAGAGCGACTGGAGGCTCTTCAGGCTTATGAGGGTCGATCCTTTGAGGTGAATATTTTGCCACTTATCGAGAGCAGTAGTTGTTAACCAGTAGTAGTAAATAGGTCTTCCATGTTGTTGTTTTCTTCATAAATTCGCAATTTTACCGGAACTTCACAATTTGACTGAAGCGTTTTCCTGATTTTTACGGATTGTTTTGGTTATTTTTCTATCGTTCTCCCAACTCCCTTACCTGACAGAGATGTAATTTTTATAATATCCCTTCTGACAAGTTTGCATCCCCTCAAACGACACCTTAAAACGTTTTAGCATTGTGTCTACCTTTGCACGTCGCGGCTACGCATCCTTTTCGCCGTGTTTCATAAACATAAAAGTGCATAATGGAAGCCTACTTTCAAATAAGCATATGAATTGCTTCGATGAAGTCTGGAATTTAGGTAGGGCACAGTTGAACGACAAAACAAAATGATTTTACGTTCTCTTGGCTTCTCAATCAGGGATACTACGGGAACCATGTTTAAATAAGATTTTAGACTGGGTCGTTTGTTGGTTTGACGATGAGTTTAGATTTTTACCGAACCCTTCGTTTAAAATTCTTGTGAAAATCGTCTCATCATTTGCATTTACTGGCAGGCGTTGAACAACCTGGCGAAGTTGGTACGCGGTAATCTGGGGAAGCTGGTGCGCATGATGTTTTGTTCCCTCATCACCATCGACGTGCATGCGCGTGACATTGTCACCGACCTCCTGGCGGCTGGTGTGACTACCTCCACCAGCTTCGAGTGGCAGCGCCAGTTGCGATACTACTGGGACGACTTTATCGACAACTGCGTGGTGCATATGTCCACCTCTCGCTACGTCTATGGTTACGAGTATTTGGGTGCGTCGCCTCGCCTCGTCATCACACCACTCACCGATCGGTACGTCCCCCTCTATTCCCCGTCACTCGCTTTTCCCTCCATTTGTCGAACACACGGCCAACTTGGCGACTATATCTTCATTACGTTGTTTTAAATGATGTAGGCTTTCCAAGTTTAAGAGCTTTGATAGGATCAAAGGTGGTGTCGTTTGGGTTTGGAAAAGTGAGACGTGCTGGTGAATTGTAGTCCTTGTGTATATCAGCAAACTATACCATACATCAAGGAGGCATAACATTAGGGTAGCTTACATATCTTTATTTCTTTGTGACTTTATTTGGTTTTTTGTATCCATTATTATTGGATTACATGTTCACCAAAGAATTTCTGACGAGTTTTGCTTTCTCATTCCTGCATATTTCTGTCAAGGCTGAAAATACTCTTAGATTAGCTATAGCTGTATGCTATTTAAACAATCTGGAAAGAAGTGAAAATATTGGAGCTTATTTTCCTCTAGATGCTATCTATGCTTGATGGGCGCTCTTCAGCTGGATCTGGGTGGAGCTCCCGCTGGACCAGCCGGCACGGGGAAGACTGAGTCGACAAAGGACTTGGCGAAGAGCCTAGCAAAGCAATGCGTAGTGTTCAACTGTTCTGACGGACTGGACTACAAAATGATGGGTCGATTCTTTTCAGGTCTTGCTCAATCTGGTGCGTGGTGCTGCTTCGACGAATTCAATCGTATCGACATCGAAGTGCTCTCTGTCATTGCACAACAACTCATTACAATCAAAAACGCCAAATCTGCAAAGGTGAAGCTTTTCTCCATTTCCCAATTTCTTCTCTGTCAAATGTAATAGAATCTACGCAGCTATAATCTTTCTTAAAAGAAACCTTTGCTGTCACTTTAGTGCTCTAACAATTGCTTGTCTATCCAAACAGGTTAGCCGTTTCTTGTTCGAGGGGCGTGAAATAAAATTGAATCCCTCGTGTGCAGCTTTCATCACAATGAATCCCGGATATGCGGGCCGTACTGAACTGCCAGACAACCTGAAAGCTCTCTTCCGGCCCATCTCTATGATGGTTCCAGACTACAGTAAGATGATGTAGCTATCGATGCATTCGAATTCACCGAAATTACCTCAGTCTCCTCTGCTCCTTAGAGCTTATTGCTGAGGTAATTCTCTACTCGGAGGGCTTCGAGTCCTCAAAGATGTTGGCGCAGAAGATGACACAGATGTACAAGCTCTGCAGCGAGCAGCTCTCCAAACAAGACCACTACGATTTTGGTATGAGAGCGCTCAAGTCGGTCCTAGTGATGGCAGGTTCTTTGAAACGCGAGAACGCGGACAAGCCGGAGGACGCGGTACTTATTCGCGCACTGAGGGACAGCAATCTACCCAAATTCCTGGCTCAGGATGCCGTCCTTTTTACAGTATGTTGCACATTTAAGTATTTAAAGATTAAAACAATTAGTTACTACGTCTTATGTATTCTTTTTGAGCAACTTGCGATCAACTTGACTTGAAGGCGTTAAAAGGGTTCTCTTTGTTTATGGTGAATTCCTTTGCTTCTTTGTAAACAAACCGAAAAAAATTTGTCACACAATGAAGGAAGGTAATTGAAATAGGTTAAGTCAATTATTCCACGTTTGGATTTGAAAGGATCAGCCATAGAACTTGTTACTTGGGGGTTCGATGTTTGTGTGCTACTTCAATCAGTCAAACGACTACAACTGACCATTAAGAAAAGCAATTAAAAGGTGAATCTGGAATATTGTACATACGATATTATCTTTCGCTTTTGCGGTAATCCTCTCTCCTCTTAGGCCATTCTTCAAGACCTCTTTCCAGGTGTGGAAGTACCTGAGCACGATTACGGCCAGTTTAAGAAGGTGGTGGAGGAGGTGACGCGAGACTTCGGCCTTCAGGTGGTGCCCTCACAGACCTTCAAAGTCATTCAATTCTACGAAACGCTGGTTGTTCGTCATGGCGTAATGCTTGTCGGCCCCACAGGTGGTGGGAAGACCACTGTCTACCGAATCCTAGCGGAGACTCTTGGTACTCTCTCTAAGATGCCTGAGATGGCCGAAACGAACCCAGACTTTCAGCCAGTTAAGGTGTACGTGTTGAATCCCAAATCTATCACCATGGGGGAGATTTATGGGGAAGTGAATGCGAAGACGATGGAGTGGCACGATGGTCTGATGGCCTTCATTGTTCGACAGACATGTGCTGTAAGTTTCCTTCATGACCACCGCATTCTTCCAACCTGACAAGTACTGACATGTCAATATGGCTCTTTCGATTGGCTTAAATGTGTGCCAACTACAATTTCTCACCATCAAGTCCAATGTAGAGGAGGAGTGTAGTCTAGTTAATCATGATCAATCTTTCCCTTGCACAATCATCGGCTTGCCTGTAGGATCCCAGCTCCGACCACCAGTGGATCATTTGCGACGGCCCCGTGGATGCTTTGTGGATAGAAAACATGAACACCGTACTGGACGACAACAAGATGCTGTGTCTGGCCAACTCGGAGCGCATCAAGCTGACACCCTACGTGCACATGCTCTTTGAGGTGGCCGATCTGGCCGTTGCTTCGCCTGCCACCGTCTCGCGTTGTGGCATGGTTTACATTGATCCTGAGGAGCTGGGATGGCTGCCTTATGTCAAGGTATCGTGCATTCTCTTACCTGGCAATTATAACCCCATTCACTTCATCGTAGAAGAGGGAGCGATTGGGGCTTCAAGTGTCGAAAATCATAATCTTCTTTGTCGTTGCGTGGGCAGAAGTGCAATTTTCAGTGATGGCGTTGTAAACTCCTTCCTCATACTTGTTCGTGTTGGTGGTAGTTTCTTTTTCTGACCTGAGTGCGGGATTGAAGTGAAAAGTGTTGCTGCCACTTGGACACAATCGCAAGGGCGGTCCTTGTTGTTAAGACTATTGCAAAGTGATTGTTTGGAGCGGTTCCCATTTCAACTCTGGATTGATAATTGGGAAGAAAATTTGCCATAAATTAATAGGTTTTACGAAAAAACTATTCAATTATGTTCGGTAACCTCCAGATATGTATAGAGTTCCTTCCTATCCAATGCTTATGGTCAAAATTCGCTTAAACCCCGCCTGTCAAATTGACGAGGAATCGAAGCTGCGAAAGCTACACTTCATAAAAGCAAAGTTGGAACGCAAGTTTAGTTAAAGGAAGTCACGAAAATATTTTAACAAGCCTCTATAACCTTTTTTAGACCTGGTTGGAGTCTTTGAAAGAGAAGTTGAGGGAAGCAGTTCGTCAGTACATTTTAATGCTCTTTGAAAAGTTTGTCGATCCCGCCTTGAAGGTCATCATGAAAATGCCCGCTGTCATTCCTCAGGTGAGTGGTACCTCTTCACACCCCATACAAAGCTCCAATTTTTCACTTCGAACTCTTCAATCATCTCTTGCTGAGAAATGGGCAGGTTTGTATGGAGGTGGTGCCTAAAACTGCGACATGGATTGACTTAGCCTCACTGAAGTAAAGCCTGTTGGCAGTCTGTTGTCATTACCACAATTTGCCCAGAATTCGAACTTGATTAAATTATTTAATTTGCTTTTTGAAATCGTTATCACTAAAGGTACCTGTAGTAAATTTAACACCTACTGACTGCCTTGGAGATGAAAGAATCTGTAGTACGGAGGCAGTGCATCCACAATTGATGCGTGGATGGACTGAGAGGTCAACAGCTTACCCCGCGGGCCATAGCTTTGAGGGAGGGAACAGAAGGGGAGCCCTAAATGTTCCCCAAATCAAGTCAAAATGTTAAGCGACCTGCCTCTATGCAACACGTCTTCTATTCCTTCTGAACGTCGTCCCCTTGTCTCTCCTCGATCACCCTCTCGTATGAGTCATTGCAATGCAGGTAATGCTGTAAGAAAAACATTAGCGATCCAACTGTCTCAATAATTGGATTGGACTGCTGGACCTGTTCAGGATTTGTATGTGAGGTTAGGAGATCTATCCATGCTATCATGTATGGGCATTGCACTAAAGGAAAGTTATTCACTGAAGCAGAGGTGTGATGCAGTTTTCTGCAAATGAAATTGCTGATTAATTTCGCCTCGTCTACCTAATCTTCATACAAGTGTCGTAGACAGCTTTGCAAAAAACTTTTCAGTAGGTTCGTGACTGAGGAGGCTGTGGTTGTTAGTTACATCCCTCTTGGCTATGGGACTAGGATTGTTACGAAAAGTACAGGTCATTTTCAACTAACCTTTTGCAGCTCTCCCTCACCAATGCTTACCATCCAATAGTGAAAATTCCGACAATTGCCTTTTAGGATTGGATTCGCTTTCTGCTATTACCGCTGCAGAGTTTCGAGCCTTTCTTAGGGTTGAAACACGATACCAACTTGTAGTATGCATTGCCTATTTACCAAGAGATTGGGATGCTATCGACATCGCTCAGAAGCTATGGCTCTTAGAGTGAGCATAAAATCGGAGCCCTCCTCTCCTTAACACGCTTTTCTAATCTAACTTATTCTAGTATGATTAATATTTTCGTCTTGATACTAACTGCATAGAATCTTTTCACGTAGAAATCCACGCTACCAAGCTGTTTGTAAAAATCTCTTCGTGATGCTCCCTTGCTGCTGTTCGTAAAGCTGTAGGGCTTAGAAGCACCACCTCAATCCCACTAAATGGAGGACACGATGGGTGTACAAATTGGATCTGGTTAGCGAACTAACAGAGTTAGGGAGATGTGCTTGGTCTGCGGTTGTGGCTTTAAGTGGGATGGAATCGTCTGAGTGGTGGAAAATTACAATCAAGGGATCACCCAGCCTAACAAAGAAGGAAATGAAGGTGATCCTTTGAGTAATGCGAGCAGCATTGGTTTAAGCAAGCGCAATGAAGCACAAAAATGAGGAGTTTTAAACAGCATATAACTTGACAATGGCCACCACCAGTGCTTTTCTGAGCTCTCTTACTGTCAGAAATCGTTCTCCTATAGGTACCGCTAGCACGGGTGAGGACGATGTGCGGCCTCATTGAGGTGGCCCTTACTCAAGAAGATGCACCTGATCTCTCCACCGGCGAGATTCAGAAGCAGCAGCCAATTATTGCCATGATCTTTGTATTTGCGTTGCTCTGGGGTCTTGCTGGGAATGTCGTCGGCGGTAAGGCTAATGAAGTCGACACTCTCATACGCAACGTTATGGACGATTGCTCGGAAGCCAGAGTATGTCATCAACCCTCCTCACTCATCACTGTTTCCTCGGGCCACTTTTCTTCCATTAAGTGGCTAAATTTTTTTCACATTGATGGCCAATCTCGGATTTTTCCCAATCGAATAGCGAATGATACAACTTCATTATTATGGGCATTTCGAGTGTCCATTACTTCAAAATCTTCAAAAATTCAAAATTAAGTAGCTACAACTCTGACCTTCAATTTTACTGTTCCGAAGCTGAGTTTGTTGATATGGATGCGTTAAACTCGTCCACTGTCTCGAT